GGTTTTATACCTTTTCTAGTCCCCATCATAAAACCAGCCTCACACTGGACTGAAGAGGGTCTCACCTTAATGAACCTGAGCCTCACTGTGATCATGTCTCTAACTGTGGGACTTTGTGTGTTCTGTTTGCTGAGTATAAAGACTGAGGGAGAGACTGTGACTGAGGAGATTCATGTGAAGAATCAAGCATCATGTCCTCAGCTGGGCTGATGGGACCAGAGAGGAGAGCTCCTCCATTATGATGCAGGAACAGCAGTGACAGACAGAACGTCTGTGATCCTCAGAAATCTGAGGAGAACGTCCCTGGAGTCTGAGAACAGGTTGGAGGGATGAGGAGTGTGAGCAGTATGCTGGACTAAAGAGTATTGATTCTGCCTATGAGCAGTGTGGATCAGGAATCTGTCTGAGGAGGAGATAACTGAGTCTAACACAGAGGTGTGTCCTGACACAGGACAGTGTCCTCATACTCAGATGTGAAACATGCCCACTGTTTCTTTCCTCTGATTTTACATCAATGTCTTTGTTTCCTTTAAATCCTCATTTCCCTCCCAATAAATCAAGACTTATCAGTAAATAAAGTCATTCTGTTCTGTTCTATAGACTCAGTGATTTCTGAATATGGGTCATTATATAAAACTTTAACCCATACAGTAAAGGGGTTTACTATTTTGAATAAATAAGGATAAACTACACTGTTTTTTATTCTTTCAGCCTCCAGACAAAACTTTAATCCTTGAAGGTCCATATAGTCTAAAGGTCTCCATCCATGTTTGATTATAAAGCAGGTCTAGGTTCAATATTAATACTGTGAAAGTATCAAAGCCTCAGTCCACAGAGAAATGCACACAGCCTGTATTCAGAAACTGAGCCTTAAAACCAGCCGTCAGGACTTCTGGAACTTAGATGTCACAACCTCCTTCAGCTACACCCCAAGTCCCGCCCCAGAAGAGAGGCTCAGAGCTCCTCTCTTCTGATTGGCTCACTGACCTGTTATTAAACCTTCAGAAAGAAGCCTGAGAGAGGAGATGTAAAACCACAGTGAGATGGTTTTTGGTTCTTAAAACCACAAATATATCTTCTTATGGATCAACACAAATAAAAGACAGGAGAAGAGGAAAATATGGAGCTGTAAATCCACTTAAATCATGTTTTCACATTTATTACATGGTTCAGCAGGTAACAAACACATCGAGCGACACACCCAAGATGGCCACATAGCAGGAGCAGGGGCTCAGCCAACATAACAAAACCTGAAAAAGTATATTGTAGGTCATCGATTTTCAGTGAAACTGGGAGAAAATATAGCCCTGAAACAATGGAGCAGAAGAGTCATTATTTTATATGCAATCCCCATCAGAACCAGTGAAACAAGGGCTGGCCAGATATTACCAAAGAAGCAACCAAAACGCTTGGATGGAGACTAAAGACATGTCAGGAGTGACAAATGGGATGGAGTCCTTACATGAGACAGTTAGGATCATGGGAAACAGAATTATTGAGGCCGAATCCCGAATTTCCAATCTGGAGGACAAGGAAGCTAGAAGAGGCCGGATATTACATTGCCAAGCTAAATTTCATGCTGCGGGAGAAAGTTTCCACCTTGGAGGGGTTTTCACGCCGTCAGAACATTCATATCACAGGTGTGAAAGAAGGATCAGAGGGCCAAGATCCGGATGCTTTTCTTAAAACTCTACTGAGAGAGACCCTGGAGATCAACATTGATGATTGGTATGAGGTAGACAGAGTGCACCGTATTGGCCCACCACCAAGCAATGCCTCCCGGCCCTGACACATTATTGCCCGGTTCCTCTGGGACCAAGTCAAGACTACTGTACTGGCAGTGGTGAGGAAAAAGAAACAGATCATCTGGAAAGACGTGGTATTGTTTTTTCCAAGACTACACCCAGGATATACAGGAAAAACACAAAAAATATGACGAAGTGAGATGGCTACTTCAAAAGAACAACATTGATTATGCTCTGCGAAATCTGCAACGATGACCTTCACTCTGGATAACTGACGGCACCAGTTCACCAGCCTCACAGGCCAAGAGCTTCCTTACCCTTATAGGAGATGAGGATTAATCGCATTCTTATGGGAGGAGGGAAAGGATCTACATCTGAATTCTGTGGGCAAGCAGATAAAATATGGACTTAATAACACATTAAATGTGACTGTTTTGGCCATAATTTGGAGTACTTTGAACACCACAATCCGGCAAGCAATCACATAGTATTTCTGTTATAGTTGAACACTTGTCGCCCAGGCGAAGGGCCGGGACTGTTATAAATCACCTGTGATCTTTTTTTGAGGAGGGGGTGTCTTGTTTACATCAGGACATATGGGTGAGTAAAATTTTGTCATCATTAGCAATTGATATTTAACGATGTGTTTAGCGATATGCATAGAGAGCGGGGCTGGAATTTAAGTTACTGATACCGATAGAAACTTTTTTTTTTTCTCTCTCTTGCCATGGTGCTGATTCTATAGTCACCTTTTCCTTAGATGCCGCAAAGGCATTTGATAAATTAGAGTTATAATTTTTATTTTTCACATCAGATAAATTTGGATTTGGTCCACTGTTTAGGCAGTGGGTAAAATTAATGTACACAGATCTTCAAGCCACAGTTTTCACAAATGGGATAATGTCCTCTTCCATTAGCTATCGCTTTGCGGAATAATATAAATATAACTGGAGTCAGGGCTGGGGAGGTAGAGCACAAACTCTTCTCATATGCTGATGATTTGTTATTGGTGGCTGAAGTTGTAGTTGCAGTACCAGAAATCTGCTCAATCAATGACTTCTTTTCCAAAATATCTTATGCTATGCCACTATCTGGTGTTTGTCCCCCAGCTTTAAGAACCAACTGGCAGTGTAGATGGATGCCGGAGGATATTACATATCTAGGGATAAAATTAACACGTAGCTTTAAGAAAATTATGGGAAATACTATCCTACCATCCTGGGTAGGATATTTTGGACCTCGCTCCAAAATTGGGCCAAGATGAATATATCTTTATTAGAAAAAATGAATCTTATGAAAATGATGATCACCCCAAAAATAAACTACATTTTATACATGCTCCCTTTGTTCTTCCCACACCAATTACTGAAAAGATTTAATACAATGGTGGAAAACTTCTTAAGGTCAGGAAAAAGACCTCTAGTCGAAACTATACACAACACGAGAGGAAGGTGAGCTTGCTCTATCCTGCATTAACTGGTATCACTGGGCTTTTTCACTGTCCCAACTTGTCAAAGTGAATTTGCCTCTTCATGGATTAAAATATACCCCTCCTCATTAGAGGCCTTCCTGACTCAACAAGGCAGACCAGTTCCATTTCAAAACCCAGTGCTGGCCTTCTCCAGGGAAACTTGGAGGATGGTACATTAAATAACAAGGCACAACCTATATACCACAACAACAGTCTCTGTATGGTACAAGAAAAAACTGTTGATAAATGGGAAACCATTCTTTTGGGAAATATGGATCATCTCAGGCATACAGGTCCTTGGTGACCTCATGGATGATGAAGGGATCTTTCGATCTTTTGAGGATCTCAAAAATGAGCATAATCTGCCTACCTCAGACTTTTGGAAATACTTACAAATTAGGCATTGTGTCCTTTTTGATAAAAAAAAATTAAACTCAGTTGTATTACTGGAATCCAGGATCTCTTTCTGAAAAGAAGACATATGCATACTGGGGCATCAAAATTTTATGAATACGTTAGAAGCACTCAGTGCCCAGGTTTGACAGGGTTAAAAATGAGTTGTGAGAAGGATATTGGCCAAGGCATCTCAGATGACTGTTAGAAAGACCTTATAGCCACTTGTCATACTTATTCACAGAATGTGAAATCACAGCTAATACTTAATTGAAAATTAAAAATTAAAAATAATCAATAGAAGCTATTGGGCCCCCTGCAGAAAGGCAAAACTAAGACTAAGTGACAAAAACAAGTGCTAGAGATGTGGAAAAGAAGCGGGCACTCTTGTACACTTGTTATTTTTCTGTGAAGAGGCAGACACTATGTGGAAAGACATTGTGTTTTTTCTGAATAAGGTTTTAGGAACACATTTGAACAAATCTCCCACTTTGTGTTTATTTGGGTTTTTGCCACATCATATCAAACTGTCACAACACAGGAGGTAGTAGTTCTGCATAGCTATGGTTACTGGCTGTAGAATAATTTTACGTCACTGGAAATCCTCCTCTATGTCCACTTTTAATGAATGGATAGATTTAATGTGTGAAATGGCCTCATATGAACAGGTGACATTTAGGTTCTTGGGAGAGAAGTTTGGGGCCCATTTCTTTCTCAGTTAGAGAAACAGTGATATAATTGTTTGATTGACAGTTTATGTATATCTCATCTTTTGATAATGTCTACTTTGGTCTACAGAGGTGATGGACTCAGTTGGACCACCTGTAATTGAACACAGCGATGATGGATCTCTGTATCCTGCCTGAGGGACAATGTGAACTATTCATTTAACAGAGTGGCTTTGGTCACTTGACTTATATTCAGCATAATTATAACTGATGTTGCAGAGTCTGGTCTTGTGAGGTTGTTACCAGACTGTCTTTGTTTGTTTGTTAGTTTGTTTTTGTTTTCTCTTGTCTCTTAGTGTTCTGCTTGTTTAAAAAAAAAAAAAAAAATGACGAAATGACAGATATTAGATGAATAACTCTGACAAAAATATCAATTAAAAAAAAAAACAGTGTAAACTGAGCTGCTCTTAATGAAGCAGGTGGGAACATATCTAAGAGGGGGAAAGAATTCAGCTTTACACGTGTTATAAATGTCCTCTGACAGACCATCAGAGGACTGCCTGACCTACGCTCATATTATCAACTGTAGTAGATGTTTGATCCACAGTTAGAGCTGCTCCTACATCTGTACTGACTCATGTAGGAGGAGTCCTGGTCTCAGTCCTGAGTGTGTTGTATCTGAGCTGTATGACAGAGGACTTGATCAGTCCTGGTCTCTCCTACCTTTTTAAACCTTTTACTTCTTCTTCCCTCCCATGGTCAAGTTCTCACTTTTCTTCTTCTGCACCTGAAGAGAACATCATCGTTATCAGTCATAGGAGCAAATACAAATACACACACACACACACACACACACACACACACACACATACACACACACTCACACATACTCACACTCACACGCACACTGACCTCATTCATAGCATCATCAATCTGTTTGAGTTCTTCATATCTGTCTCTGGACTCTCTGAGAGGCTGCACCATAGCCTCCTCAATCTGTGGGAACAGCTGGTACACACACAGACACAGACACACACACAGACACACACACACACACACACACACACACACACACACACACATACACACACACACACACACACACACACACACACAGGTCCAAATGTCAATGTCATCACATGTATAAAATCAACACAGTGCATTGTGGGATTGTTAGAACGTAGTAGAGAACACTTCTACTTTTTTCTACTTGAAAACATCACACAGACACACAGACACAATAAAATAGTGAACAGTAAAACTATGCAATACATGTGAAGTAAGTTTATCAGACACATGCTTGGTTTCGGAGCTCCTCCCTCACAGGGCATCTAACCTCAGAAAAACTCTGGATCCTCTCAGCTGCAGCAGGAACAGAAGCTTCATTTCCTTTGAAGAATCTGACTACCACCAGGGTTCAGAGAGTAAAGATCCAGAGATCATCTCCTAGAAGCATCTAAAGGTTCAGATGTTTGTCAAACCTTCTAAAGCTTATGACATGTTTCCCAAAAGCATCATAACTGAAGACTTGTCTCTGTGGAGTTCAAACTTTAAGCAACACAACTTCACTCAGTAAATCTGCTTCAACTGAACTCAATCACCCCCCACCCCCACCCCTTCTGATAATAGAACAGGAAATATGTTGCCATGGATACAGTGAGTTAAACTGTGGCTTCAACTTGAGCCCTGTTCTTCTTTTTTAGCCCATGTTTGTTTACATTTTGGAAAATGAAAACTAGTGAATGATCTATTTTAACTTCCTGTTTATCTACCATTGATGTAGTGGCAACAATCACTGATCACTGACTGCGGAGCTCCTTCTTACTTATGGACGTTCATTTTCAGTGGTGTTCTCATGTCTGTGTGTTCAGCTCTGACTGAATCATGACTGATTTTTCTCTGCTGTGAGTTTCACATGTTTTTGGATGTTGATATTTGACGACTTGTTAAATGCTCTTATTGATCTGCTTTGGTTTGGAGATCAGCTTGAGTGTTTTCATACGATATGTGAATGAATGTAACCAGTAATATTAGACATGAGGAGCTCTCAGACACTTTTATTTTGGCAAAGTAGCTCTCAGAGTGAAAAAAGTCTGGTCTAGAGGAACATCACAACTTCAATATGAGAGCAACAGACTGAAAGCTGTGGACCATTTCCTCAAGAGCTTCCTTCTCACACTCAACATCAACTATAAAACATTTCGTATCCTCTACAGTGAACTTGCTCTTTGAGGCATCTGTACTTTAATACACAGCTCAGACTGTGGTCAGGATCATCTTCAAATAGTTGTTGTCAACAATCTCCAGACCATCTCATGAGAGTAGAGTTAAAGTATCCAGGTGACTTTATCCAGACTGAAGATGCCCCTTAGAGAACCTGCAGACTCCCCTCCCGCTGTCATCAGGGTGTCCCTCATATTTACCTTCATCACCGTCTCAAACATGGGGATGAGGACAAACTTGATGAAGCCGATCTGAGCCGTGGGCTTGGTGACCTTCTCTCTGTCCATGAATGGAGCCACGGGAAGTCCCTCAGCCTTCTCCCTGTCGCTCTGAGAGACAGTAGCACATCACTGTACAGCTACAGAGTCATCATCTGATGGATATTGATTTTTTACTACTGACACCACACTGAGCCTGTAAACACAGAAACCATCTCACTTTTTCCTCTACATGTTTCTGCGCCTTTTCAGTTTAAAACCATAAACACAGACAGAGAAACTGTCCTACTGTGGTGGACCCACCTGCATGAAGTACTCCTCCAGCAGGCAGTCCACCCATGGCTCAGCCACCTCCATGGGCCGCACCTCGTTGGAGATGTCACAGCACTTGATGAGCACCATCTTCAGCTGCACAGAGCACAGGGTGTGAGGTCAAAGGTCACCATGAACACAAAGTTATGGGCTGAAGTGGAAAAGTCAAAATAACCTCCTCTCTAACCACTTGTCCTCGACCTTGATGGAAAACATCATGAGGTCAAGGAAAGATGAAAGGAGAATTCACGAAAAGAATCTGACTGCACTTCCACTAAGCTGTTTTTTTTACTAACTTTATATATTATATTATATTATATTATACAATGTTGTAACAAACAGCTGTATCTTCTCCTGCATGTCTCCTGCTCACGTCATACTGTCTTTGGTGTGTCTGAACAGGTGTCACCTGTGATGTGTGTGTAAATGAAGTGCTCTTACACAGGTGACGTGCTCCTCGTCTGTGTAGTCAAAGTTGTCGACTTTCTGCTTGAAAGAGTCAAGGATCTCACCGTGTCGAGCCATGTCTGTGGCCAGGATCAGTGTGATGGTTCCCTAACACACACACCCACGCACACACACACACATACACACACACACACACACACACACATACATACACACTATGATTTGTTGACGGCCTCTTCCTTCTTCTGTTTCCCTCAAGTAGCTTGAAGCTGTTAAAATCATTTTCTCCACATCGTCTGACAATATATGTGATCATATTGAAGACCATGGAAATATACTTGATATTTTGTCTTTAATAAAATTCAGCCTGACATAGAAACACACACACAGAGACACATCATTACTGTTCTTTACTTTTCCTCCTCTGTCTCCTTCACTCCACTTCCATCATTGGAAGTCTTGCAATCAATTGTGTGTACACACAAATTGTTATTTCTCTGTATTTGAGTCTTTTCAAATGATTTTCACAGTGTAAACCAAAATAAAAGATGGTGATTGTGAGGATATATTATATGTCAATTAAAAAATCACTTTAATTTTGCAGCCACCAATGCAGTTTAGCTTCAGCTTTTCCAGAAACAGCAATCCCACCACAATTTTCTGAAAATGCATTGTTTAGTTGACCCTGATACTACAGACATGGTACAGCTCTACACACACACACACACATACTGAGCTCTACCTGCCGTATCTGCTTGAAGGCCTCTGGGTCAAAGTTGGAGAAGATGTTGCAGTCGGGCTGAGAGAAGATCTGGAACGCCACAGCACAGTGATGATTCTCCAGAGGAGAGATGTCATTGTAGCGAACAGCCAGCTCTGTCCTGGCATTGATCTGGTACCTAAGAGAGAGAGAGAGAGGATGAGAGACATGCAAAGAGAGCAGATAGATATGAGGGAGGGGAGAATACAACAAAGGAAACAAGAGAAAAAAGTAAGGGACAAGAACAAAGAACAGACAGAGAACATAGAGACAAGGCAGAGGGATGTAAGGAGACAGTAAAGCAATGGGAGGATGGAGGAGGTGGAAAGATAAAAAAAACACAAGAGATGACAGAGAACAGAAAAAGAGGGAGGAAGGGAGAAAGAAGGAAGAGAAAAAGGAGTCAGAGTCAGAGGGAACAAATTATGGAAAACAGGGTCTTAAGTGTGTCTTACGTGTTGTTGAATCCAGGGTGATCGAGATCATGACACACAGCAGCTGTCATGAGAATCAAAATGTCCACCTGTGTGAACTTCTCCTAAAAAATGAACACACATACACACACCAGGACACACACACACACATACATTCATATTGCTTAATGCATCAATTAAGTATTCTATTAAAAGATCATGTCAACATGCACTAATCTGTGTGTGATCCTGTGTGTGCGTGCGTGCGTGCGTGCGTACCTGCGTGCGCGTGTGTGTGTGACACATCAGTGACGCAGATGCTACATAATGAGTGATTAGGCCTGTGATAATTAATCCCCCAGGGCAGGGTTGTCCTTGACAACAGGGGGAGGAGAGATGAGAGGGAGGAACCTCCTGTCTGGAGCAGTCACGGGCCAGAGCTACAGCTGTGAGTGAGTGAGTGAGTGAGTGAGTGAGTGAGTGAGTGGGAGAGCGAGTGAGTGAGTGAGTGAGGCTATGTGACCTTTCCTATTGGCCGTTGCTAATCCACAACAGTTTTCACCTGCTGTATTTACCTGCAGTAGGTAACAGGTGTTTATTAGAGGCAGGTCTTTATGACTAACTCCCTCTGTTTGACATGTGTTAATACAAACTCAACACTTCCTGTAAGCGTTTCAGAACAGAACCCTTTATTTGTGGACATGATGTGGACAGACACACACCTGTCTATATCAGGTCTCACAGCTGACAAACAGATCAGAGCAGAAACCATGAGGAGGAAGAAACTGCTGCAGAGGTCAAAGACAGGATTGTGTCGAGGATCAACAACATTTCTGCTGCACTGAAGGTTCCTGAGAAGAACAGTGATCTCCCTCATTCTGACATGAAGAAGTCTGGAGCAACCTGGACTCTTCTAGAGCTGGACCTGGACTAACTGAGACATCAGGGAGAAGAGAGGAGAAGAAGCTGATGGTCTCTCTGAGATCCACAGATCCTGTGTGGAGATGGAGAAACTTCCAAAAGAACAGCCATCACTGCAACTCTCCACTGATCTGGGCTGAGAAACCAAATTCTCTGCTCTGATGAGACCAGGATTGAACTGTTTGACCTCAGTTCCAAGTGTCATGTCTGCAGGAAACCAATGCTCATCACCTGCCCAACACCATCGCAACAGTGAAGCATGTTGGAGGCAGCATTAGGCTGAGTGGTTCTTGTCATGATGAGTAGTCAACATGCTGACTGTTACTGCCAAGTACAGTTAAACATCTCATCAAAGTATAGGTCAAAAAATAAATCTGCAGTGTGTGGCCATGCAAGGCTTTTGTTGTTATTTTTACCCTCTGAAACCTGAACCTTTGCTTTCAAGTCTGACAGCATCACTCTCTCAGAAGCTGGTTACCTTTAGGCTGCAGAGGCAGATCATGCTGTACATCATCTGGGTGACACAGAAACAGTGGCGGAAGTTGTGGAAGGGGTTGTTCCTGTAGTTGTCATGAATGCACAACTAGTCAGAGAGAGAGAGACAGAGACAGAGACAGGAGGTTTATAACCCTAAACACCAAAAAAGGTTTTCAGATTGTACTGTTCTGGGTCCAGGTCTCACCAGCCATCTCTTGAGGGTGATGGGGTTGATGTTGAAGTCTTTCACCAAGCCAAGGTCATGGTACATATGTTCGAGACAGCTCAGCATCTGGAGGAACAAAGGACTGTACTGTGATGTGAGTGTATACAGAGAGAGACCAGCTTTCTTCTTTTTTTAGTCTGACACATCACTGATGGTACGAAGCAGTTTTTGTTTTATACAGTTAGTCTTCCTTTGGAGTTTGGAGGAAACTCTTTCATCATGTGCAGTGTAACATACATTTCATATCAAAGATAGACACAAGCTACAGCTGGTTTTGATTCTAGGCTGTTACTGCCCTTCCTAAGAAAAAAACTAAACTGAAACTATGATGTTTATTTAAATGTATTTAAATGAAAACGGTTATAATCTTAAAATGATGTATACAAGGGGTGTCGAGTGGCACAGTGGGTTGAGCAGGCGCCCCATATGTAGAGGCTACAGTCCTCGCTGCAGTCGGCCCTGGTTCGAATCCCGCATCGGATGGCCGGATTACATTTTTTGCTTTTATTTTATTTAAGAGAAACTGAACTAATCTGCTGAACTTGATTGACCTGGCATAATAACAGCTAAATCCATATGTCCACTTTATCTGATTCACTGCTATGAATCATGCTATTTGCTGCAGCTCAGGAGCAGAACACTCTGGTCAACTCACAACAGATACTCAGCTCATCTGAGCCCAGCTCATCTTAATCAGATTTTTAAATCTTTCATTGAATCAATTTTTTCTATAGTTCTCTTTAAATTTGTTCACCAGTTTAGCGCAGCATACATGCAACACTGCAGTTATTCCAAACATTCTTGTCAAAGTCTGGCTCCTTCCCAAAACGCATCTTGATGGCCAACAGCTGCATCGGAGATGTGGGTGTGTTATGCTAGCAGCATCTAATGTAGCCTGGAGCTTTAGCTTCAGACAGGAAGAGGAGCAGGCTACAGAGGTCTGGTCAGATCACTTCCTTGTAACTTAAAAGACGTGACCGACCCAAGTGACACTGACTCAGGTGACATCACTTGAGGACAGTTATCAGATGTCACACTGCCTCTGTAATAGAAATCCCCAACAATTGGAAACTGACTTTGATGTGTAGAATCTGTGGAGGTTCAGCTCCAGGGTGTTGACCTCTTTCACAGCAGACAGACTGGATCTCTTATCTCATTGATATTCTCTCCTCTCTGGATATAACAGGTTCTTCTGCTGCATCGATTTTGCTCCTTTTAAACTGTCCATTGAGAGCCCAACAGGTGTCTAGCATTATCAGGCGCACCTGGGTTTGACAAGTCAAGATGGCCACCATTAGTCGGTCTCCGTCTCCAGCCTTTGTTGTGTTAGTTCAAAGCAGGTCATGTTTTTTCTGTCTCACATAAAAGACTTTTGATTTAGCACATAATACTAGGTTATTAATTATTAAGTTTTAAGTTATTAATAACACATTCACTGACTGATCATTTAAAACTTCACCATTAGTTGATTAATTTTTCATTATAACGGGTTAATAACTGTGAATTAACAGTTATTAACCTGTTATAATGAAAAATTAATCTGTTGATAAATAACTCTCACCTCATTGGGTTCCCACTGCCAAGCATCGAATGTAGGCAATCTAAGAGCTTCTACTGTCTCCTTTGACAGATGGTACTACACACACACACACACACACACACACACACACACACACACACACACACACGCACGCGCACACACACAGCAGCAGAATAGACACAGGGGGCACAGGGGGGGAGGAGAGGGGGGAGTTGTGAGACAGGTTCAGGAAGCTCGTCAGTCTTACCTCATTGGCCTCCCACAGCCAGACATCAAAGGCGGGTTTTTTGAGGGCGTCTATGGTCTGTTGTGACAGCATGTACTGCAGGCAACAGAGCTCAGTTAACCCTGTCCGCCTATGCCTGGCTTGGGGGCACACCTCTACACACCTCTACACACTTCTACAAACACCCAACACACCAATTCATGCATAAAAACTGATGTCAATCTTTCCAGTCATTACATGTATAACACATATGAAGCTGGCAATAATACTGGCTGTCAGCAGCTCAATGTGTGTGTCCCTGTGTGCAGCCTTGTGATGGATTGTCTCTGAGATGAGATGTGACCTGTTGTTCTTCATTCACTGCTCTCTGAGAACACACCTGGACTAACACTGACCAACATCTGAAAACTATTTCACGTCTCCACTGTGTTCACAGGAAATCAAACATCATCAGTCACATTTGATTTGATTTCTGACTACAGGAACATGTGGAACCACACACTCGAGAACAAACATTTGTTATCTGGATCCTGGAAACACAGTGGAGACACAGCATGACATCAGCAGCCCTACCTGGCTAACAAACACACCAGGTGGAGTGAGCAGTGTTTGGTCGAGGAAAGCCTTACCTTGGGGTAGGAGGGCACGTCTCTACGAGGCGTCAGCTTCTTATTGTCTTCCAGGAAGTTACTGTAAAAAACAACAACAGTGTCACACAAAAACAAAGAACAAACAGCAACAGCTCTACTAAAATAATATATATACTGTATATATATATACTCTGTAAGATTAAACAACCTCGATCCAAGTAAAACTAAATTCTACTTTTTCTATTACCATCAGTTTTACTGTTATTTAGGTCTAATACTAGAACTACCAGTAACACTAATTAAGACTTAAACTACTAATTATCTTTATTATTGAATTATTGGTAATTTTATTTTTGATGAATTAATTCAATTCATTGATCTTTTAGCCAGTAAAATGTCAGTCTAAAACCCAAAGAAGCTTTTGCTTAATAAATGACTTACATAATTTATTAATTATCAAAACAGTGATTGACTAATTTTCTGATGAGTGACTAATTCATTAATTGAAGTGTTTTAGTGCTGATGCAGATAATACAGTAACTAGTACTGTTCCTGTTTTCACTGCAGTGATACAGATGCTACCGCAGCATGTTTTAAAGTGATGTGAGGTTAAGAGTGAAGCTGCTCAGTGGAAGACGATCAGTTGTCCCTTGACAGTGACTAACAGTTAATCAGAGGAGGACAAGGCACAGACTCTCCTCTGTGGGTCAGTGATGACTGAGACCTGTCACTCTCACCTATTGTTTCTCGATGCCATCTCCTCACGGAGTTTCTTGATGTCGTTGCGACATTTCTCAATCTCCACCACCTTCATGCCCTCCACTGCAGGCAAACACAGTCATCCATTAAAACCTCATTAAGCCTATTAGGTTCATAAACCATTAACCTGTTGATTCAGGTGCTCAGGGGCTCACTGAGGTAATGTGGCCTTCAGTGATTTAATTTGTTTAACTGACCTCACTTGGTTAAGTGTCTGTGCTGCAGACCTGTCCTGTTTTGATTTGAGTTTATTGATTTTGTTGGTCAATGATGCAAAACAGGAAACACACCTTTCCTCCTCTCACTGATCAACCTGCCCCGTATTAGGTTTTTCTAAAAGGTTTTGAAGAAAAAAAAAACAGAAAAATAAAAACTCTGTCCTTTGGTGAATTAAGATAAAAAAAAGAAATGTTTATTCAAACTTTGTTTTAGGTTCTGGGGGCAGCAAAAAAACACCTTTTAAGTTAATATCACAAACAGCTGCTTATCTACACATCACCATGATGATTCATGTGTAGTAGTATCTGTGTCACCTGATAAATCTCAGTCCAGTGATCCCTCTCTTTCTTTCAGCTCTAAGTTTGGTCTCCACCAGCTCCTCTTTAGCTGCTAAATGCTCCACTATGTTCACCAGCTGCTTTCTGTCTGTGCTGTTTGTTGTGAGCAGGGAGAGAATGGTGACTTGTTACAGCTGTTAGCTATTAGAGCTGTGAAAGTGAATCAAAACACTAAACGTGTGCACCAGACAGGTAAACAATAGATGGAATAGGTGGACCTGCCAGGACCCAACAGGTAGAAACGGATTCAGAAATTTAGAAATGATGTTCAGGTTCAGGTCGGTTTCCTTCACGTTAGCCATTGAGTCATTTACATGGATAAACAGGTAAGCTGTGACCATGGTAACAAAAAGTGCATGACAGGGTAACACAAAAACTTCAGCTCACACTTACTGCATCAGGCTCTAGTCAGGTTAGGACATAAAAAACAGAATGCATGTCAGGTTCTGGTAGAGCTCAGTTACTACTCTCAAACTCACATCAGGTTCAGACAGAAACATGTGGCCTGAGCTACAGTCTGATAAACACGGCAGGGACAGAGGCAAGAAGAAGTGTGTGAAGTCCTCAGCCAATGACATGAGCAGAAGGTAACTGGAGTGATCAGACCTGGAGTCAGTCAGTGAAACCAGACTGGAGGTGTGAGCCAGCTTGACTTGAGACTGAGGTTGAACTGTTTGAAGAACATCAGCTCTATGTGTGGTGTAAACAGGTCTCTGGTGTAGCAGGGTGGAGGGAGCATCCACCTTCTGGAGTGGTCCAGTCAGAGTCCAGACCTGAATCCAGAAGAGAAGCTGTAGACTGTGCTCAGAGACCGGCTCACACCAGATGTCCATGAGAACCATGGAGGGATGTCAGATTCTTTAGATGTAATTGGAGCTTGGCCCTATGAATATGATAAAGAGAAATAATGTATGGAGTGAGGGAGCTGCCTCCACACACCTCCCTCAATCATGTCTTTAGACGTGGAGGAGGAGAGCAGGTCAAATCAGACCTGACCTGAGCTAATGGTGAAGTTTTAGCAGGTTAGCTGTCACTCAGCTGTAGTCCTCCCAGTGCCCACTGGACCTTCATTCCTCTCTATCTGCCTCCTTCTCTCTTTCATCAGCCACCCCTCTCTGAAACAGAAGAGGTTGCCCCCACAACACTCCAGCTCCCATTAGAATAGGTGACCATGGCGACCAAAGTGTTGAGAGGATGGAGATCTGTGTGGGTGCCACACTGTTGCTTTAGCGACCAGGTATCCAGGCAATTGGCATGCTTATGTCAAGTGGCTGTGTGCGTCAAATCTGAAACTACTACAGTCAGGGAGAGAGTCCTCCTCAGTCCGGTTCAGGATTAGAGGACAGAGATCCTCAGGTGGTGTTTGAGACTCTGGGGGGTCTTCACAGTGGGGACATAATGACATGTTAAAATGTTCAACTTTACAGCAGAAATAAACATGTTTACAGCCTGGTACAAAAATAGTTTTGGTCTCTAGAGCTAATTTCCTCCTTCTCGACTGATTATATAACTGTTTATATAACTCACCTGTTTACATTTCATTAAGACTAATTGATGGCATGCTGCTTTGACAGTTGGGTAAGCGTATGTCTGCCACAAACCAGCATAAACCGCATACAAGCAGCATACAAGTCTCAGCTCCACACATGCCCCACCTCTTTGTCCATTTTTGGATTAGCTGGGAGTTCAGTGAAGTCAGTTACTGGCAAGATGGCAATGACAGTACAGCCCACTCAGCTTCAAAACCGCTCTTCAGAAACCTATGGGTGAGGTCACAGAGGCTACATCCATCTTTATTTACAGTCTATGGTCTGAACTGGTCTGAATTGGTCTTAACAGGGCCAGAGAGAGGACTTGTCACAGTGCACTCCTTGTCTAACTTGATCAGGATCTTATCTGACCAGCAGGAGTCCACCTGCAGGCACAAACTCCTGTTCACGCCTGTTCACAGAGAGGAGAAAGGGGGCAGGGCTGATCCTGTTGCTAAGGATGACATTACGTTTCATGAACCTACTACCTACCCCCTGATTGGCTGACAGGTGTCAGTGTCAGTGGACTGAGTTACACTTTGTTTCAAAGGAGACCTACTAACAGCAGAGTTGGTGAAATTGCCATGGTGACCAAAGCAAAGTCAGGTCATGTTGTCATGGTGACTGAAAGCGTCGGTGCACTGGGGGCCATTATGCAACTGCAGCCACATCACATGGAGAAGCACATGTATTCAGAAGAGCCAGAGGGCTGCGTATTAAATACAGCACACACACATGTAGAGACACCTAGACACACGTGTGTGGCGGGGGGCATCTTACAGACCATGCTGCACACCTACATACACCCAGGTTTGACATCACCAGCTGTGACAGGCTTATGTGGCCTCACATGTTCACTGAGGTCATGACCAGAGACACAGAGAGACAGAGACACAGTCTGCTGGAGTCTGACTGACAGACTTTAAAGACTCTGAGAGGAACCAGACTCTCTGGACTCCAAACACCAGGTCCTGCTCAGCACCTGGATAACACCAGCCCTACAGTGAAGCATGGGGGTGGGGGGGTGTGGCAGCATCATACTGTGGGGAGCTTCTGGTCAGACCTGATGAAGGATGAATGAGACACAGAGAGAAAACCTGATCCAGAGTCCAGGAGACCTGAAACTGGAGCCGCGGTTCCCCTTTCAGCTCCACAGTGACCTGAAGCAAACAGCCCAGACAACACTGGAGAGTCTCCAGGACCAGCGTCTCACTGTCTCTGACTGTCCCAGCCAAAGTCCAGACCCAAACCCCATAGACCTGAAGAGGACAGTTCACAGACACTTCTAGTCCAGTGTGAGTCTGAGAGGATCTGTCAGGAAGACTGAGGTAAATTATCCAGATCCAGGTTCGAGATTCAAGAAGACTGAAGCTGGAACTGCTGCTGAAGGGGGTCCTACAAAGAACTGGACTAAGGGTCTGAATACTTTTGTAATTCAATTTGTGATTTTTTAATAAATGTCTGAAAACACATTTTCTGTTTATCATTATGGATCATTGAGTGGAGATCGCAATAAAGAGAGAACAGTCTGACTTTCGGTATATCTCAGCCTCTGCATTAATATCTCTTGTGTATAAGAGCAGAAAATATTTAAAGGTCTGCTCTGATTTATGGTCATATTGATCTTTATTGATCTAAAAATCAATATTTATCAGTTTAGATGTTTTGTATGATTGTGATGTTGAGCTGCCAGAGACAGACACTTCCTGAGAAAACTGATCAATCATAATTAATTATTATTTATTGTCAGTATCAATACTGTGTTAGTAGATTAGACAATGGTGACAAAGGACTGTATTGACATCAGCCACTCCATTTGTAAATAATATGTTATATTGTCTGTGTTGCTGTGTCAGGGGCACTTATGTCGCAGTTACTATAGCAACATCAGTGTATCAGAGTATTATGTCACATTGAGTCGTGATGGTGAATTTCTAACATTTTCTTTCCTCAGATCACAGAATGTTCAGGTTCAGTAACAGGTGAAGTCGGGTTTCGGTGTGGACCCTGCTCTCCTGTTCACACTGAACATGAAAAGACACCATAGCACTGTGCTCTCTGTGGAAGGGATGGAGGTGTGAGTTTATCTGGAGCTAACCTGAGGTTCAGCAGGTTGAGTCTCTTTAGACAAACAGGATGTTAATATTCACTGTGTGTGTCAGAGTGACAGTTACAGATAAACTTCACACTGTTTCCTCTCCTGATAAATCTTAATGCAACAGAACAATGTGCAATATATAATATACAATATACAAAACACATATCTTCAATGCTTAGAGTTTCTTTTTAAACCAAATGATATCTTAGGAACACCTTAAGGGAATTTCCTCAAACGTCTTACAAACATTCACTTGGACTCAAGGATGAAATGATTAGAATTTGGAGGTAAAAGGTCAAAGGTCACTGTGACCTCATTAAACATGTTTTTGGCCATAACTTAAGAATTAATTCACAAATTATGACACAATTTAACTCAAATGTCTAATAAGAAAAAATTATTAAGTGACGACAGTTTATATCCAAAAGGTCAAAGGTCAACTTCACTGTGACATCATAATGTTCTGGTCATTATTCAACGCTGTAACTCAGGAAGGAGAGACTGTGACTATATTTCCAGTAACTTGACTGGTTGGTGGAGGAAACAACGAGGAGGTGGTGATTGTAGTTTGTTCTGCTCTGTGGAGTGATGTGCTGCTCAACAACAGCAGCAGGTTTTCAGGTGTGTGCAGTACAGGTGGAGCAGCACTGACAGGCTGCTGCACTCACATATTCAACTTGACCTTTATCTTTAATCACAGCCTGACTAGGAAGGGTGTAATGATTGCAGAAGAAGGACTGATTAAATGTTCCTGTGGGTAATTACTCTTACAGCTCTGCTGTCAGGAACACTAAGAACAAAAAGCACTGCTGGTGTAGGACAGCACAGCGGCCGGCCCATCACAACTTCTTTATTGATCATGGTTTATAGCTGTTTTATCTGGAGAGAACTGACACATCTGCAGCAGTTGCCAGGATCAGGTAAAAGCTCAGTGAGCAGGTCAACAGCCTCAGGACGACACTCTTCCTCCTCACAGTTCATAAAAGGACAAACACCTGCAAACTGATAAAGGTCAGGAATGGAGGTTGTATAAGTGTGAAGATGACAACTTATTCCTTTATATGTAAACAAATTAAATGTGTTCAATGTTCAGCAGACTCTGAGAACAGGTTCTGGATGTGGGTCAGCAGACCACATAACATGCGCTGCTTCAACTTATCTAAGCACAGCCTCAAAAACCAGAGGAACACAGGTTCACACATGCACTGACAGCATGCAGGTATCTCTACACTAAAGTCCACTCACCAGTCAACACTCTACTGTACAGAATTGCTCTGTGGTTTTAAAGTGAGGAGGCTGAAGTGAACTTAACACTGACAGAATGCATATGTTGATAAGAAGTGACATTTACACACAGATGTTCGTGTGGTTTATCTCTTCATCTTCTCCAGTGTTTTTAGCCACACTAGCATCATGGGATCACAATGTTAGCTTAGACATCCCAACGTCTCCAGAGGGTGTGTCCTGACAATACTATAACACCACCCAGCAGGTCAGTTTCCTTTACACATGCACAACTAATAACATTTGCACCTGAAGCTGAAGACCCTGAAGTGTGACACACATCAGTGATGTCTTCGACAGACTGAAGAAGCAGTCAGAGCACAGAAACCAGGAAGTCCAAGCAGTGAATGTGATGTAACAGCTGACATGCATCAGCACTGTGAAGCTGACAAAATGCAGTGATTTGCACCAAGACACTGGGGGTGTGTGGTCTTACAAGAACCAGTTTCTGATGCAATCCACACTCCACCAGATTGTACTGGACTTTAGTCCTGTTCATTTCATGAGAACCTCTCTACTGTTGGACTCTGTCTTTTTCTAGTTGCATGTACACAAACAAACACAACAGCAGTGTGAGCTTCAGCTTCTGTTGTCACAGTTCTAACCAACAACAGATGAAGAGAGTGAAACCACTGAGCTGAAGACCTAAGCAAGGACTGGATCACTTCTATGTGCTGTCTGTACCACTGTGTGTACCACTGTGTGTACAGTGTGTGTGCAGTGTGTGTCACGCATTATCTCTCGTCTTTAAAAATACAAAGAGCTACTGGCTGAAACATAGTTCTGCTCAGGAACCTTTGTCACATGTCTGTCTTCTCATGTGTCCAATAAAGACAAAATAATCAATACAGCATGTAAAATGAGATCAGACATTATAGACTTCATGTGTAGCTCCACAGGAACACAGTGATGGTCAGCACTGCAGCATCTGAGCAGCATCATCTCATATAAACCATTGTGATTTCATAAAAAAAAAAAAACAATCCAAAAAAACAATCCTACACTTACAAAATTCATTGTAAACCTGTTTGTTTGTTTGTTTTTCATTGTTTTTCATTGTCAGTGGTTTAACGTGTTAAAACTACAATGTGACGCCAGAATTTAACATTCTTAAATAATCTACATTATCATTGTCATTAATCTACAGGTAAATTTATTTTCTTAAAAAAATCTTTTCATTACTTCACAGTGATGTTTATTTTAAGACGAGTTAAAGAGGAAGAACTTCACAAAATGTGCAACACAATCATTTTTGGGTGAAACAGGTGGAACATACATTCATTACACTATCACATTGTTCATCACTTCAGGGAGCCAATTTATCTTTAACTTCAATGACGTGACTGAAAGTAGAAAAAGGTTGTACAGAGATACTGAGGCAGCTTCTAACTCTTTACCTTCATTTTGAAACCTCCTGCTGTAAATAGACTGTGTTGCTGTGGTGGATGTGTGTGTTGTCTCTGAGCAGCAGCTGGTGATGGAGGTGTGGGTGTGACAGTGGGTGGAGGGAGCACACTTACACTCGACTCTCTTTTCCAACATGGCGAGACGGTTGGTGACCTCAGTCTTCAGCTCATTGATCTTAAAGGCCCTGAGGTCAGAGAGACACAGAGAAGAGGAGGGTCTGCATCTGAGACAACACATCTTTTATATTTACACTGTCCTGCTGCAGGTGGATGTTTACAGCTGCCGATGTGTGTGAATTTAACAGCAGACAAAATAAGGAACTGGAATAACTAATAAACAGTTAAATAATCAATAATAACTCATTTATCAGACTGTGATATAAGACTTCATATCATATCTGTTCACTCTCCAACACTGATAGTGTGTGTGATACAGTATCTAGTGTCTAATTCTAAAAATGCTGTGTTCACAGTGGACTCCTGTCCTGCTCTGTGTACATGAGCTCCTCACCCTGCAGGACTCACACTGAGACATGATGAGAGAGCTGAAGCAGAGTCATGTCTGCAGGCAGCAGGAAAAGAGTGGACAGCCACAGTCAAGAGGCAGATATGAAAGAAGTGATGAGGCGAGAGAAACACATCCACATGGAGCAGCAGCAGCAGCAGCAGCAGCTGTGACTGTGAAGAGGAAGGACTGATCCTCCTGCACCAAAACAGGACCTTCTCTAAAAAACCAGCTGCTTGTAATGCTTTTTTTTATTTTTATTTTTTTTTATTTTTACATTTTTGTGTTGTAGAAAATCCAATAAACAAATTCATTGGAAAAAAAAGGTTTTGTCCTGGTACCAATCACACACAGTTCACTATAAAAAAAACTCTCAAGAACTAACATTCCAATTGGAGAGGAAGAAATCTACAAGATGAATAAATGATTAACGGTGATTCACATGTTAAACAGAGAAACAGAGAAAACAGTGTGTACAGTATCTAGAGCTCAGAGAGACAGAGAGGATCTCCTGCTCAGTGTCTTACCTGGAGAACTGCTCTGCTACTTGCGTCAGTACATTCTGAAAGAGTTCCTCTTTATCTGAGGAGAGAGCAGGTGTGGAGGTGGTTTACATACTCATACATACACACACACACACACACACACACACACACACACACACACACATACACACACACATACACACACAGACACAGAGGTTATGTCAGCACAGCCAATCACAGAGAGTCACACAGCTAAAGCAACAGAAGGAGAGAACAGATAGATAAAATATCTCCCCCACCCCCCTGGTCTCACCATCAGTGACCAGTAGAGTGTCCGCAGTGAGTGTGAGCAGCTAACAGCTTGACGTGTTAATGAGTCGCCTCACACACACAGGAAGAGGCTGGACATACACAGAGCTCTGCCATTGGCTCAGAGCTCCTGTGTTGTGGGCAAAGTTCAACTCAGTGAGCCAATAAAAGAAAGATTTGTGGGTTGGCAGTAGTTTGTGCATTGTGGTGTGAGAAATTCCTCTCTGTGATTAATTAATCTTGTTCAGACTGACAGAGAACACTTAGAACACACTGAACTACTTCAGTCAATATGTTTGAAGTGAGTCCAACAATAACAGCTTCAGTCACTGGGTTACTACACTGTGGGAGAGCAGCCATGACACACACCAACACAACAAGTTCAAAGGTCCATATTTTACACTAAAGTGTTGATCCATAAGAAGATGTGTAGTTTTACATCTCTCTCAGGCTTCTCTCTGGAGCTCTAGTAACAACAGGTCAGTGAGCCAATCAGAAGAGAGGAGGTTATGATCCTCTCTTCTGATTGGCTGACTGTTCTCTGAGTGATCCAATAAAAATGTAGCAGATTTCAGGTAAGCACTCAGAGAAACCAAATCCTGCAAGTTTGGATGGTGGGTCCAGGTTGGCAGGGCTTGGTGACTGCTTTGTTGTGACATCAGAAAGTTCCAGAAGTCCTGACAGCTGGTTTTAAGGCTCAGTTTCTGAATACAGGCTGTGTGCATTTCTCTGTGGACTGAGCGCTTTGATACTCTCACAGTATTAATATAGAACCTAGACCTGCTTTATAATCAAACAACACATTGACAGAGACCTTTAGACTATATGGACCTTTAAAGGGTCTCTTCACTCAAATCACAACAGAAAAAAAGACCATTTCCCTGACTTCTCCTTCTGGTATTGAACCAGTTCCAGTCCAGAGGTCAGAGGTGGAGCTCAAAGACACTGAGGGTAAAGATTTCAAAACACATCAGTATGTTTCATATTAACAGTCTGTTTTTGATTATCAGTCATTATATTACAGTTACTGGTCTGATTAAAAAAACTCAACTACACATCACGATTGTCTGAATATTTTCTAATAACAATGAACTTATTGTCTTAGTTTTCATAGTTTTACTTGACCATCCAATAGCAAATAATTTAGTTGTATTAATGAAGTGTCAGTGTCAGTGTATTAGCAGATATGATTATGGATGCAAATTTTCGCGGTTGACCTGACCTATTAAACAAAGGTCCAGTTTCTCTGAAAACATCTGTCTACAGCTGTAAACCATGCTGTGAGAGCGGAAAGTGAACAGACTAGTAAATAGATAAACACTGAGTTTAGAGTCAGTGTACAGCTCTGTGGAGACTTCATCACCATCACACACTAATGAACACTGTTACACTGTCAGTGTCAATTATAGCTGCTTTAAAAAAAATGATAATGATCCTCAAGTCATTTTTTAATTACATTTGTTCAATAACTTCTCCTCAACAAGTTAAAGTTAATTATAAAGGTAATTATTATGATATACTGGTTTCATGTAACTGCGTATGAAGGAGAAGAAGAAGAAGAAGAAAACAAGTGAAACAGGAAACATGATGCACAGACAATAACACTCAGAGCCAGGACTGGACAATATGTTGTAACATCTATATCACAGAGAAAATGAGCCATGTCATTCACCCATTCACACCTATGACAGCCAAGTAAAGAGACAAACTGCCCACATTGAATCAAAGCAACAGTTTTACATTGTATTCACGTATATGTGGATGAATACTTCCTGTTCATATTGGTTTGTAGAACCAGTTAAAGGTACTGGAGCAGAGTCACTAGGTGTTGTGGGTCTACTCACACTTCTAAACTACATTCATAATAGACTCATACTGTCAGTAGTTTGATAAATGTCCTGTCAGATAGATACATTGACAGTGGTGCAGCAGGGGTTTGAATCCCTGCTCAAGAGCAGAAGAACAATTCCTCCTGTAGGTATTTAAACCACAGGTTAAAAAAAAACGTCCTCAAATTACAGCCAATCAGCTGCCACTATATCATCAAGGTAAATGTTCCCCAGGAACTCGGCGGAACATACCGTATGGCTGTTTGACACAGTGTTTTAAACATGATACTGTCTACACACACCTTCACCCTGTCTGAGTGTGCTGTGGAACTCACCAGCAAGCTGTCCTCCAGTCATAGGCACCACTCGGTACGGTGACCTTCAACACATCAGGACACACAAAAACACACACACACACACACACACACACACACACACACACACACACACACACACACACACACACACACACACACACCCACACACACACTCACACACACAACACACCACACCACACACCACACAGCACACATACACGCACTGCACGCACGACCCCCGTACTACGCACGCAGCGACACTTAGCACACACACACACACACAACACAACACACACACACACACACACACACAGGTTAGTTGTGAGAGCAGAGGTGGTGTGAAGCTAGAATAAATCCGTCCACTGTGTTCTTCCTTCAGCCTGTATTCAGACACAGTGTTTACATGGAAGATTAACACTGAGATAATGTTTTACCTTCAGATACACTAGTAAAAATGCCTGAGCAGTAGCACCCAACAACAAGAAACAGGAAAACATGGCTCATATATGTGATTTGCTAACATTGTTATGGAGAGAATAGTCTTTTTTTTTTCAAAGCAGATTTTTCTTTTTATTGTTTCACTCTTTAATTAAAACATCCTTGTAACTGTTGAATTCTTCCAAAACCATGAGTCTGTGTGTGTGTGTGTGTGTGTGTGTGTGTGTCTGTGTGTGTGTGTGTGTCTGTGTGTGTGTGTGTGTCTGTGTGTGTGTGTGTGTCTGTGTGTGTGTGTGTGTCTGTGTGTGTGTGTGTGTCTGTGTGTGTGTGTGTGTCTGTGTGTGTGTGTGTGTCTGTGTGTGTGTGTGTGTCTGTGTGTGTGTGTGTGTCTGTGTGTGTGTGTGTGTCTGTGTGTGTGTGTGTGTCTGTGTGTGTGTGTGTGTGTATGTGTGAGTGTGTGTGAGTGTGTGTGTGTGTGTTTGTGCATGTGTGCAGCTGGGGGCACGACATGTTGAGGGACCCTGTTTCCCCTGTTTCTTAATGAGGTAATTGAAACAAAGCCAGGTTTGTCTGGTTCAGTTCTTTCTTGTCTTGTTCATATTCTGTGTGATTCACAGTGAAACTGTGACAAGGTTCAGGGTTCACTACAACTCTACTACTTCTTCTACTTTAGGTCTACTGTAGATCTACTGTGCGACTGTTTGAATAAACAGTCTCCATCAGACCTAAGGAGACATGAACAACAGTGACAGAACAGCAACACGAGGAGATTTGACGTGGTACTGAACCTCCAGAGAGGCCATGTTAATATTCTGAAGTACAAGAAAATGAGCAAGTCAGCATCTTTCTACTGCTGCCAGTGTTCACTCACAGCAGCTCTACACAGACTCAACAGGTCTGATAGGAAATGATAGGAAATGAGGGAGGAAATGAAGAGGGAATAACACAAAACACTGCATATGAGGAGCTGCTATAATTCTGTATAAACAGCTGTAACTGATGTCATATCAAGTGTCAAAAAACCCAAGGGGAAAGGCAAACCACATGTGTATGTGTGACAAACAAAAGCCTGCGCAATATCAATATTATTGTTCCTACACTATGTGTACTGTGTGTGTGTGTGTGTGTGTGTGTGTGTGTGTGTGTGTGTGTGTGTGTGTGTGTGAAGAGATTGGAGGGAAATCAGAGAAACTGGAAGTAAAAGCAGTAAAAAGGTTCAGAAGGAGTCAAGGACACGCTGCAGGACCCAGAAGAAGCTTTGTTCTACACCTCATCAGTTTCATGACACCAATCTGATGAAGATTGTAATGACGACAAACAGTGGAGAGAAACAGTCAGTGAACCTTTGGATTCATCTTCATTTATGTTAAAATTTATGTCTAAAATATGATCAGATCTTCATCACAGTTACAATAATGAACAATCACAATCTGTTTGAACTAACAACACAAATCATTGCATTGTTCTTGTACAAAGATTCACAGTGTTGCTGAAACAGTGTGTGAAGCACTCAGCTACTGACATGAACAGAAGCTAACTGTAGTCAGGAGTGATCAGACCTGGAGTCAGTCAGTGTAACCAGACTGGAGGTTTTGGTTGGAGACACTTTGACTTCATTAGCTGATGTGAACCAGGCCTCACAACAAAGATCTCAGAGAATGAGGATGAAGGGGTGAAAGGGTCACAGAGTTCAAATCTTCATCAGTCCACAGTCGCAAAGACACAGCTGAAGGCATAAAGGAATCAGTGGAGCTGGTTCACATCTCTGTTCACGAGTCCACCACACACACATCATGGAGCATGGAGTCCTGACATGTACACCAAAGAGGAAACTGCTGCTAAAAATAATGGTCATCCAAACTTCCTCCTGAAAATTGAGCAGCTGCTGCAAGAACTGGTTTCAGAGGAGGTTCAACCAGTTATTAAATCCAAGGTACACTGACTGTGAGCGTTTAATGAATGCGTTCCATAAACACACAGAAATTATAACTGTTTGTTTTAGTTTGTGTGTTGTCGGTTTGTCTTCATCTGTGACTGAGATGAAGATCAGATGATAATATTCAGAGGTTCACTGACGTCTTATCACTGCACTGTTTCTTTAGGAGTAAAGTCACTTCAGCCTCTGGTTACAGAAATAAACTGTTCTTACATCAACAACACTTCTGCATCACATTTCCTTCTGTCTTACTATTTATTATATTAATTATTGTTTGGTCAGTGTAATATAAACACATGTATTTATCATATATATCCTCTAAAGGCTCAGAGTGTGGTCCAAACCAGCTGTACAGCTCCACAATACAACACTGATTTACCTCAGCAGGTAAATCAGTAGCTCAGCTCTGAGCAGCTGCACTTCTTCAAGTTTAGTGCGTGGTAAATGTTTAGCATGGCTCTGGGTAAAATACCCTTTAAATGGTGTCTGTAGACAAGCATCAGTTTGAGCAGGACTTCCCTTCTGTATGTTCTGTGTTAGAAACATGGAGGAGCATCTGCTCTGTCTTCAGTCAGAGGTTTCAGACAGACTTCAGTACTTCAACACAGTCATCTATAACTGATCAGTTCTTCAACAGGAACCCAGAGCCAGGATCTTCTCTGTGGAAACACCTACTGCTGTTTGTCAGCTGATTAATAAACTGTGCTGTTCCCATCCTTCACAGTAAATAACCAGAATCCTGACCTCCGCCACCAGGAAACTAGACCTCCATCAGGTGCTGGCAGTATTAGTAGTTATCCTGCAGCCAATCATAGTCCACCATGACTGACAACACCTGTAAACTCGTAAATGTGAAAACAGTGTAAAACATGGAGCAGACTTGATTCTGATGAGACTGTGTTACTGTGACTCTGTACAGAGTCTCAATTCTGATCACTTGTGAATGAACAGGCTCCAGGTAAACTCAGGTACAGTTGGTTTCTAATGTAAGGAGCAGAAAACACTGGTCAATCATAGAACAGGTCTTTCAGTCGAACAGTCTCATCAGTGAAGACATCAGTGGACAATTTGTCCTGTACCTCTCTGTGTTGTGTGGCATGGTGGGGTCGATGGACACCATGGCTCCAGAGGAATCCAGCAGGGACAGGTTAGTGTTCCTGTGTGGAGACAAAGACACGTTTTACTGTACTGACTAAGTTCATCATGAATGTGTCTCCATGACCTGTCCATCAGAAACCATCCAGAGGAATCAAAGACCTCCTGCATAAACATTTCTCACTAAATAAACCAACAAGGACACTTTGTTGGGGGTGGTGCTGCTCATGTGGACTTGAGGTTTAGGAGAACCAGAGGTTTAGGAGAACCAGAAGGTTTAGGAGAACCAGAGGTCAGGGAGAACCACAAGGTTTAGGAGAAACAGAGGTTTAGGAGAACGAGAAGGTTCCAGTCCTCCATCAGAGAAAAACATTCGTCCACTGAGTGGAACCATGACTGAGGATGTAATTCCTCTTCATGATATCATAATGTACAATGTCTACTTCAATGACACAATCACAGTTACACAATGATGCTGTTTGTCATGGAGTTTGTCAAGTTTGTGGTAAAAGAGCTATACAACAACATTAATACACACTGAAGGCTGAACATTATATAATAATATATAATAATTTGACCAGAGTGTACAGGCTGTAAAAACTCTGGAGAAGTTAAAGGGATAGTCCACAGCAGTACATCACTCCTGAGCTCCTGCTGCTTCCAAACTGTGGACGTTCTGACTCAGGTCTACTGCAGGTGATACACTGACTACAGATAATCACCTCAAACAACTATCACTTTAGCTGCACATAAACCAAGCTTCAACCTCCAGGAGTGAAAACTGAAGCCAACACTGAAGAACCAAAACCTGCAGTTCCTCTAATGACCACTAGAGTCTGGCTCCAACAGTGAGTCAATGCCCATAGACTCCCATGTTAAAATGTCCAACTTTACAGCAGAAATAAACATGTTTACAGCCTGGTACAAAAACTGTTTTGGTCTTGAGAGCTAATTTCCTCCTTCATGACAGCTGTTTATATAATTCACCTGTTTACATTTTATCATGGTTTAAAGTTATGTCTAATTGAGGGCGTGACCTCTTTGAGCGACAGGTGTCTAGCAGCTAGCTGTCTGCTCGGCGTCTCCTCAGCTAACTCAGTCAGTGAGTGTGAACTCTCTGTTTGTTGGTTCTTCATGTAAATATGAGACAGATAATTTGACTTGTTGGTTAATTAACAGAACATGACTTGAAATTGACTTAAGTCTGTGCTCCTGTTTTTACAGGTGAGTCAAATTGTAATTAGTGCCACGGGTGCTCAGCTCCGAGGCACTCCTCTACAGCTAGAATAGCTGAGAGGAGTGCCTCGGGCTTATTATTATTATTCTGCCAAATTTTGGCACGTAACTCGTCCCGCAGCTTTGAGAAAACCCCGGTAATATATACATCAAAACGTGCGTCTTGATCCCGAAAGAGGTGCTATGACTTTTGGTGTTAAAATTCCAATTTTTCCCAAAGTTATTCCAAAAATACTGGGAATAAATAATGCATTAGGAATGCATTGGAATTTTCTTTAAAAACCCACAAAATTTCACCTTTTTTCTACAAAATTTCACCTTTTTTCTGAGTCACCCAGCTCTCTCATACCTGCACGTAGAAATGTGATTCAAACTATAAAACGGAGGAAAACTTCTGCTCTCTCAAAAATACAGCAACTGTTTTTACATAACATGTAAACTTTTCAAACTATGAGCACTCAAAGGAGGAGTGGAAATCACTTTTTCTTCAAAGTTAGAGTGACAGCGTCAGTTGGCTAGAGTGCGTGAAGCAGTAAAAAATAACCTTTATTTTTATTTTTAACTCGAGCTCACGGCCAAACCGTAAAAAGGAGACAAATAATTCTTTCTCAAAATGTAGACATAGTTGTTGGGATTCATAAAATGTAACTTTGACAGGCAGGGTCTGCACAAAATTTAAATGGGGGTGCCGAGTCCGACAGCAATACCTGTCTCACTCTCATTGACACCTAATGTAATCGTCTTTTTTTTTCAAAAGAATCTCACTCTGTCTTCGCACTGAGCTTACTCACTCATTTTAAGGAATATCTGAATAAAATAGAGACTGTAAGAAACTTCTGGCTTCAGTGTCTGTCACGGTGTTTTCGGTTTTTGAAAAGAAGTAACGGTTTTCTCATAATTTGCAATTGTTTTAAGCCATGTAGAAGCCAAATTCTGGGCAGATTTTCACATTGCCATGGCAACGGCAGCTCCTGACCTGTGTGCGTGTGTGCGTGCCTAGCAACCAGATAACCAACTCTCCAAGCTCCGCTAGCTTTACATTAGCCGCATGTTAGGTCTTAAATTACATTTAGTTAGGTCTTAAATATGTAAGTCCATTTACTGCTTCCTTTGTTGCTTTTCTTTTTGTTTTGTTAAATGAGTGAATGAAGTTGTGACGGTCTCCGCTGAGACAGAGGAGAGGAGAAGCTACTAGCCCTCTCTCGCTGTCACTTCTAGTCGCGTTGCTCTCCTCCCCAGTAATGTTAAATTTAGCACCGAAAAAAACATAATAGTGGTAATTTAAATAGCGGTTCATGGGATTTATTAACCCTCAGGGGTCCCTCTGTCCTTTTTTGGACATTTTCTTCACTTTTCTTTTTTGATTTGCTGATCATTTTGTCTGTGTTACAGCTGAAGGTATGGATTTCTGCAAGAAAGTGTCTTTTTTGACATATTTTTAAAATCTAATGTCAGTTACTGTTACAGGTCTATTATACACTGGTAACACATTTTGTACCCTCTGGGGTTCCTCGCGTCCAAAAAAGGACACACAAAGAAAATGCTATAAAATCATCATATATCAATTTTTTTTTTTTGCTTTTTTTTTTTGCATACATCTCTTAAACCACTTCAGTTCTGCTCAAACCTACCAAATGTTTATTAGTTTTCAGGATTTTAACCCTTTAAATGCCAGTTTGAAGACATGTTGCCTCTTGTTTTATTAAAAAAAACAACACCGAATATGAGATATTTCCCACATAATACATGATGGAGGGATGTGACATTGTTTTATATCAGAGTCTTTTATATCAAGACATTTCTCAAAACCAGAATATGATCAGGGTGACTTTTGAACACTGGAAATAAATCATGTACTCATCCCGGCAGTAGCCCCCCTGGCACTCAAAATTTCCCTGGAATTTTCTAGTATTTCATTTATAAGTTAGTTATTACTAATTAGCAGGTATCAGTGTCTACACTCATCATACATGTCTGCAGCTTAGCCTCGCTTTTGGATTAGCAGGGAGTTAGGTCACTCTGAGCTTCAAACCTGTGGGTGATGTCACAGAGGCTCCCTCCATCTTTATTTACAGTCTGTGACTGAATTACAATTTTATATGAACATAAATGACATTAATTGTTAGTCCAGAATTTCATGATGATGAGGCTCAAACTCAGGAGTCTACACACAACAGCAAAGTAGAGTGAACACAAATGACTCAATACACAACATTATCAGAGGTCTGTGATCTACTGAGCAGTTTTCTAGTAGTTCAAAATGAATGAGAACAGGCTCTGTCAACAGTAGTTTACAATCTACATAGACTATCAACGAATTAGCCCTGCAGTTAGCTTAGCCTCAGTGACCACACACAGCTCTCCAAGAAGCCCCCTGGAGGCTAGAGCCGACCACACACCAGATGCTGATCCTGGACCAGTCTGCCCACTGAGCACAGACCAAACTGAAACCAACCCTCTATCAAACTCCCAGTCAGACTGGCATCCAGCAGACTGTCACAGTTAGTGCTAATTGTAACGTAGTTTCATATCATAATCCCTTACACTACTTGTTATCGAAAAGTAATCACATGACTGGAACGCTTCACTATTAGCAGCCACTTTGCTGGAGCTAGTGGGAAGAACATGAGTGTGTGTGTGTGTGTGTGTGTGTGTGTGTTACCTTGGCACACTCAGGGCTGTACAGAGCAGTTCCTTGATGTCACACGGGCTGCAGAATCTACTGAAGACCACCTGAGGGGCGACAACAGACACACAATCATACAATCACACTAAATTAAAATGTGGTGGCAAGGTATGAAAGGCAGGGAGAGTACTCTTTACCTGCAGTCTGTGTCAGTCGTACTATTTGACTTATAATAAAATAAACATACAGTAACTTCAGCTGCTCCAGTCACAGCTATAAACCATGCACATGATGAACTGTTACAGTCTGTGATGGAGACAAAGAAGAACACACAGTTTTTACCAAGAGAAAAAAAAACTGTTTGTTTTCTGACCTGTGACACTGTTCATCATTTATTCATTAGCTATTTCTCTGCAAATCTTTTTTTTAGCTTTTCATTGCCTTGTGGTGAATGTAACCTGCCAACATTAGCATACAAACAAGCTAAATGTTAGCATGTTACTAACTACACTGATACGCTCAGTACAGATGAAAGTGAACACAGGTGTTTGTCCAGTGGAGGAGAGCAGACATTCGCCTGACAGGATGTTTCACCTGATGGAGCAGACAGAAGAGTTTTCTTCTTTTAATTATGAAACACACCCATACACACTCATGACACTGTACAATCAGTAATGCTCTGTATCAATTGGTTTATAAATTATGATTTTGTGTCATCACAGACAGATGTTGTGTTGCAAAGCTGTCATTTTCAAATGCATAGTGGGACGTTTAGCAGGAAGTACACCATACACTGTGTGGTGCATCTTGGGAACAGTGTAGTTCATACAAGATTCAGACAGTAAATCAAATACACTACAGAGAACATCATGAATGGGTTCAGCCACAGACCATCAATGTGTTGGTTCAGCTTCAACCCACTGACTCACAGTAACAACATTAAACATCATAAATATACAGTTCGGTTTTAAAGGCTCAGTGATTTCCCACAACAGCTGATCACAGTAGATTTTAACAAACAGGAGCTAATAGTTCATCTGTTGAGAACTATTTTCTGCAGCAGATCAGTCAACATGTGGTGTTAATGAGTGTTTGTGGCAGCAGGATTGTGGTGACCCCTGGGGTCCTCTCAGGGGGATCCTTTTACTAATCTGTCTCTGTCTGCAGTTGATTGGAACATCTGGAACATCTGGAACACCTGTAGTAACACTCCTAGAAAACACACTAGGAGACAACATGATCAACATGGCCTCTCCTCTCCATTTCAACATGTTCTTTTGGTAATTATGTAAGAATTTTTTTTTTCATCCACTCAATATTTTAGTTTTCTGATGTGCAGCACGGCTGCAGTCTTTACTCCTGCTTGTTCTTATGTGGAAAATATGTGCCCAAAAATGTAAAATAATGCAGGGCATGTATTTTTCCACTGCATGAAAAAGATAACAAGAATATTCTTAGTGAACACAAATGTTATTTAAAATCAGCTGTTTTTCTTGTGCAGATGTTGACAACATGTTGTGCTTCTAACTGGTTGACTCCAGTCATGAGAAAGTAGAGCGATCAGCCACTGGGGGAAACTCTAGAAACATCTGAGCGAGATGGATTTCCCCACTCAGGGCTCTTCTTTTGAGGAGAGAACCAGCTCACTGCTCCACAGAGGCGGGAAATATTTAGTGTTTTTAAAACTGCTTCATAAACAAGATTGAGTCACTGAAGATGAGAATTGATCTGTGTCACACAATGAGGGATGACCCACATAGATAAAGGAGACATGTGCATGTGATGGCATCGCAGAGGACAGGCAGCGAGATGACATGAGGAGGCCGGGCAGTGCGAGGGTGGGGGCAGGATTAAGGCAGAGGCGGGGGGCTAAGGGAGAGATGAAGGTAGAGGAGGAAGAGGAGGAGGAGGGAGGTCAAAGAGCCCTTCAGTGGTCTGGCTCTGGTAGCGTGTCACAGGTGAAATAGACAGGGGGAAGGAAACATCACACCTACACTGAAACACAAGGGTCAGACTGCTGCTGTTCCCATGAACGTCACACAAACACACAACTCTCACTCTAAACGAGTGAATCTGAAAATTTAATTTCCACTTTCTTATTTTAAAATGCTGCAGCTTAAATGAAAACACTGTCTCCTGCTGCTGCTGCTGCTGCTGCTGCTGCAGGGTGATGATCAGACACCTTCAACCTGCCACTATCATGCAACAGAGCACACAATATTCAAACCTGGTCATGCAAAACAAGGCACAAACCACAATCTGATTATTAATGAGGACCAGAGGACAAGAGAAACAAAACCCACAGAGAACAATGAGTGCGGGGAAGCTGAGCATCATGATAACACGGCTCCGTCACACACTGATCAATATGCAACACAAGTGAAGAACATGAGTTCAACTGAAACGCTTCACTGTTGATTTCAACCTTCCACCTGGAATAAAACTAATCCAGTGCTCAAACCTAATCCTAATCTGAGAGGTCAGTCTGTGTCTCAAATGGTACAGGAGGTCCTCTCAGTGTCTCCAGCAACAAGTTCAGTCTTTGTCCTGTTTTCTCTTCCTCAGGGAGTCTGAAGACACAACAAACCTCAAGTCTCCTGACGCTGTCTCACCCTTTGAACAAGTGTTCATCTTCTCACCCTGTTGTATATGTTTCCAGATTGGGACACTGTCTGCATGAGGCCCTGACACATTTTTGTGCACAGATACACACTGTGTGAACTCCATAAAGAAGACACAATGCAATAAATGCAAAGTGTCTGTGAGGCATAAACCTGGTTATATGGCCTTTTATGAGCCGCCCCTCCTCACAGAGCTGGAGTCTCTGCTCACCTCTTCAGTCTGGAGCAGGACGTGTGGACAGTAATGAGACAGATGCTCTGAGAGTTAATGAGTCCTCAGCAGTGATGAGCTGTGGTTCATATGTGTGTAGATGTAGAAGTCTGGATGTTGGTGTGCACAGCCTGCTGGTGAGTTTCAGTTTTGACTTAGAAGAAGTAGTGATGTTTCACTGTGGCACACGTGACTCAGATCACAAGAGATCTGGATCTGGTTATGGTAGGATTCAGGTTTTCATGTGAACACAGTAACTGTGATCCTGAACAAGGTCAATTGGAGGGATGTTTCAATGAAAGGATGAAAGACCTCAGTTGAAAAGCCCCCAATGAAGATTCTGCATTTTACAGTTTTCTTTCTGTTTGCACTGAACAACATGATTAAAAATCTCTTGGTTTACTATCAAAGCACCAGCCTGCTCCAACTGAGCTCCAGTGTTTCAGTTTTCATCTGAATCACATCTCAGACTATACAGAGCAGAAACCCTGATGAAACATCATATTAAGTTTTACTCCATGACAAGACAACATGTAAAGAACACAGTGAAAATTAAATCACAGTAAATATCTGTATTTGTTAGATTCAGTCCTGACTCCAGTTCAGGTCTTCATGGTTCACTGGTGTCTCTGAACTACAGGCAGTGACAGTGAGGTTTGCAGACATTCGGTTTCTCTGCAGCTTCTCTCTGTTTTCTTTCATATTTGAAACTTTTACTATAAAACATCCAACATTGAAGAAAAGCTCTGAGGTGTAAACACAACAGCCGCAGGTTGCTACATCACTGACCTTCAAGCTCCACCTTTTCATTCTCACATATTTTGTTGGATTAATAATTTTCATGGCCTAGATTTTTTAATCCATATGAAGAGTCATCACTTCACACTCAGTAGTCTGGTCTCTGTATCTGACACACACACACACTGAAAACAGTAAGGTTATGGTGAATGGTGATGATTAACACATCATCATAACTGTGGCCTCTCTACTAACGCGATCTATTTCTGGCTGTTAACTGCTCAGTATCATTTCATTCACAGGGATAAACAGAGGTGACATTTAGACTAAAGGCCAAACCAGCATCTCATTTTAGTGTAGATTATACAAAACAATGAAAGCAGAGCTGACACTGCCTCTGAAGATCAATGAAAACAGCCAGCCTCACATATTACACATGATTTACAATAACACTGTAATAATGTTTTTGTAACCGTTTTACTCTTTTATTTAACTCAGTTAGTTTAGAAATGATAATAAACTATGGCAGACAAAATAAAACTTTCCACCTCCGACCATTTATAAAATCTATAAATGGATTTGCTTCAGCTGTGAATATTCATCAGCTTTATGATATTTTATGGTCCATGTTTAATTAGTTCTACAGTCTGTGGTGCTCAACATTACAACTGAAGAGACTTCATGCTCCTGTTAGTCTGTCAGTGTCTGACCCTCACTACAGTGTTTTGTGTTATTGTCCTCAGAGTCAGCTCCTGTGTGAGATGTGCTGACCTGTTATAAAACTCAACATGCAACAGCACATTCATATTAGTAATGAATTATCAAATTAACAGCATAATAATAACAATAAAAATAGATCACTGAACCAATACAGTTCCAATGGTATTTAATGAATTCAATATTTATACTGATATCATATTAATTAATATCAACAAAACTTTATTGTAGTTGTATTGTCATTTTTACTTGGACATTTATTTTGAAAGGCAAATTTTCTTATTAATTCATAACTTTTCAGGTGAGTGTTGGCACAACCACCTGTCCCCACAGCCCCCAGCAGCAGTAGCACTGGTCTGACACTGGATCAGTTGATTCTGCTCCTGTAGCCTGATCGCACCTGTAGTGTCTATCTTTTATCACGAACAGCCTCCACAAAGCAGCAGCTCCTCACCTTCTGAATCCTGCCGTCCACATCCAGGTAAATGACCCGGTAGGAGGACGAAGCAGAGCCCATGGTCACCTCTCCTCTCCCCGGCGTCAGTGCGTGGCTGTGCGGCTCCTGTCCAGTCCTTCTCCCACCGCCGCGAAACAAACCGAGGGGGTGAAGGGTGAGTCAGGGGGCCGACACCATCTCACCCTCCTGTCAGATAGAAACCCTCCCTGCTCTCCGGTTCGGTCTCCCGGGCTCTGTCCGCTCTGTCACCTCCCTATCTGACTGCATCTCATAAAGCCTGTCCATGCGCGTCCACGCCTCCCGAGGTCTGCGCGCTCTCGCACAGGCACGCCGTCTCTCTGTCTCTCTCTCTCTTCAAGAAGTGGTGTCTGACAGTCTGAAGCATCCCTGGGTCGAGCAGGCATGGTACTGAGGATGAGTCATGACGTCAGAGATCCCCTGACTTCTTCTATAAAGTCTTCCTCAGAATTTCATTTATGGTTTAAGTTCTAACACAACTAATGTTAACATGGTTTACTAGCAGCATGTTAGCATAGTCAGTATGAGCATTTTTAGCTCAAAGCACCACTGTGACCTAAGCACCGCCTTACAGAGTTGCCAGCAGTTGCCAGGTTATCATAAGGTGAAGAGGTCTGAATATTTTCCAAATGCACTGTATATATATGTGTGTGATATTTCAGTTTTTACTTTTTAATATATTTGCATTAATGTCTAAAATCCTGTTTTCACTTTGTCATGGAGAACTGAGTTTAGACTGATGAGGGAATATATATATATACATATATATAAGTGTATATATATATAAAACATTCAGACCTCTTCACCTTGTCATAAAATCATTTAAATTCTTTTATATATATATATATATATATACATTACTTGTTATATATTCTATATATGTTCTTTTTTCCCCTCATCAGTCTACATTCAGTTCTCCATAATGACAAAGTGAAAACAGGATTTTAGACATTTCTGCAAATGTATTAAAAAGTAAAAACTGAAATATCACATAAGTATCAGACACTTTAATATTTTCAGGTTCCTCCATTTCTCTTGATTATCTATGAGATGTTTCTACACCTTGACTGAAGTTCACCTTTGATAAACTCTGATTGAACATGATTTGGACAAACACACAGCTGTCTATATCAGATCTCACAGCTGACAATGCAGATCAGAAACCATGAGGAGGAAGGAACTGCTGCAGAGCTCAGTGATTTACTGTCAGTCACTGAAATCTTAAATTTGGAGAAGTGAAACATAGAATGAAGAGTAAAGCCTTTAGTTTAATCTTTGCAGCTAAAAGGAATCACTGGACAATCCATCCATCAAGGCCCAGCACAGGGGGTAAACAGGGGGTACACAAGGGGGTTAACGGGTGGTAAACGGGGAATAGCCTTTAAATCCACCAGCTAAAGGGAATTTAAACGCGGCCACTGATTCAACCTGTTTAAGGTGACTGACTGTATGTTTGTCTGGGTAAAGCAGTAGGTAATGATGAATTGTCTGCCTCACTGGCGTCAGTGAAGGGAGGATCAGCTCTGGACCAGGATGGACAGGAGAAACAGACATGGACCAATAACTCAGTCAGTGTGTTTGTGTGTGTGTGAGCCTTCTGGTCTGCCCGTGTCACTGAGTGGGTTTCTGTGTGTCAGGACCTTTTCAGTTGACACCTGTCACCTCCAGCTGAGACTGAAGGCCTCTCCACGCCATGACTCAGACAGATTTAGCCAGCCTACAGTAGCAGGCTGCGGCGAAAGCCTTCAAAAACACCACCCCGACAGCAAAGTGAAGAACACAAATGGTTTATTTTTTTCCCAGAATGCATTGGGAGTGAACCAATCCCAAATCAAGATGAATCACAGAAATTAAAACCTTCAGATATGTTTCAGTTTTACAAAATCAAGACAAACAACAGACAAGACACAGAATGTTTTCAGAAGGAGGCCGACCACTGATCAGAAATATACACAACATGTGACTTTATATAACATCAACGAATAAATTAACTGAATTTAATTATAAATATTAATACATCTGAAAGCAAGAAAAAATTAAAATGAGCTGTTGGTGTCTCAGTTTGATTAAGAGGCTTTTTATGCTCATTAAATTCACTGATGGTCCTCGTTGACACTGAACATTGCACTGCAGAAGATATCCACAAGGTTTAAAGAGTCAGTTGTCTCATCTGACAACTTTACATTCATAATATCTCAGAAACCCCCCCACACCCCTAACAGGGAAACATCAGCATCTGGAGGTTTGGTATAAAAATACAACTTCGGTGAATTAAATTCAGAAACCACCATAGACTGACAAAATAAGTTAAAGTCTGTTTTTTAAATTACAACATGATCCCACAGTCTCTTTGGTTCAGTAAGGCAAAGGTGACACGGAAACAGGAACTTCCACACAGTCCAGGAGGGTCCTAGTGGTGTCAGTCCAGAAGGGCTCTAGTAGTCTCGGTAGAGAAGGGTTATAGTGGTCTTAGTCAAGGAGGGTTGCAGTGGTCTCGGTATGAGTCCCTTTCACATACACATCATCACACAGGACTTAAAGTTGGTCCTCCACCTCATCTGTCCGCAGAGTTTTTTTTCTTTTGAACCATCTCATTTGTTATTTGTCACTTTATTACAATAGAATGACAACAGAAACGTGTTTGTGCTGCAACAGACAGTGACTGTTGTTCCAGAACAAGTTGTCTCTATGAAAACATCTGTCCTGTGAGGTTTATCTAGAATAACAGGGACTCTGCTTCAGGACAGATGTTGCTGTTGAATTGTTCAGTGTTGTCAGCAGCATAAACTAAATTCCGCTCAAAGCTTCTTCTGCTTCTTCACCATCTTCAGTAGGACAAATCTGCAATGGATTCTGGGTAAATAAAGGCATTTTTCCAAACTAAAAAATATTGACTGACCATGTCAAACCTCTCAGCTTTCACTCTCACTGAGCACAACATGGAGCCAGTGGAGGGCTGGATTCAGGTATAACATTAAAATGTTTGGATCAGATATAAAGTTGAGTGGCAGGGATATAAAGGTCATGGTTAGATCAGGGACTGTGGAGCTTGTAGTGACATAAACAGGAGGAGTCAGAACAGTCAGACCATAACTACAAGAGGATCCTTCAGAACAGTGATGGAAGTTACTGTTTTATATACTGCTACCTACATAAATATCTAGTCATCTAAAATCCCAGCACAAATGTCAAAGTAAGGCTAGTTTTATATATCTGCCAGTCATACAGGTAGACTGGGCAGGTAGTGTGTTCAAACTGGCAACCAAACAGGAACAGGAAACAGGCAGAGGAAGATCTGAGAAATAGACCAATAAGTTGAGTAAGAATCCACTTCTGTAATCAGGTACAGTCTGTGATGATGAGTCTTCCAGATTAAGATCTGCTGCGGTTCCATTTGGTCCACCAGACAGAACTTCAGGTTCAGGTCTTTATCGAGGATGAAGGTCCACTCTTGTTTACAGCTAACCACTGTAGCTGGCACAGCAGTGTGTGTAGACATACACACATGTTGGTTTATTAATATGTGTGTATGTGTTCAGGACAATCCAGTGACAGAGCTACAATCCATTTCAGGCTTAGACAAGTGGTTTCACTGTGTGTGTGTATGTGTGTGTGTATGTGTGTGTGTGTGTGTGATGCAACAAAGTGCTCAATGCTCCTTCAACCTGTGAATCAGAGACAAACATTAACACCATGTAGATAAGTTGGGTGTCGTTAAGTTTTACACTCAGGAGCCATAAACTCTGAAACTGAACTCTGTGGTTTAGGGAACAATTTTCATATTAAAACCAATCTTTACTTTTTGTGCCTAGGACAGAAACAAAAGAGACAATCCTCAATCCAGGACACTTTTCTTTTTTTTTAAACAAGTTTTGTGTAAAACTACTGAATCCAGGACTAAGTTGGGTGTCAAACAACTATGTTAGTGAGTGATTTTTATTGTGTATTGGCCTATAGTCAGTTCCATAGTTGGACTGGCCATCGGGGGCACTGGGACAAATCCATGAGGACTGCCACATCATGGGGTTAGTGAAAAAATCAGAAGCAACTGGAAAGACATAAAAGGTTTATGTCCATTTAAATGCTAGAGGGCTTTTAATTTGAAATGGTTACAGGTAGTCTTGAGTTTGTAATAATGTATAACGTATTTACTTTAATAGGGCAAACAGGAGGAGATCAAAACAAGGCTTTGTACTAAAATACTGCTATGACCACTTATACATGTCAAACAGAGGCAGTTAGACATAATCACCTAACTCTAATACACAATTTTTGAGGAAATAAAGTAGTTGAAAACTGTTGCGTATCAGCTGTGAACAGTTCCTGATAATGTAATAGAAACTTCGCACCAAATCATTTTGAAAGAGCAACAGCCAATAGGAACAGTCCAACATTCAGCCGACCAATGGTGTAACTTCACCATTCATTCAGTCAGTCACAGACATTCGTGAATGTATCTAGTGATGGGTGATCTGATGATCTTATATCTTGGACAATCTTACTTTGACATATGAGCTAATCTTTCTATGTTTAGATATTTAATTTTAAAGGTTCAGTCTCTGCTAACCAGACCATGTTAACTGTTAAACAGCTAGCCTGCTAACTGCAGCTGGAGACAGCAGTCCTCGTTCAGCTCTGCAGCCTCAGTGAGTTTGGTGTAGCTCCACATGAACCAGTTCCCCATCAGAGCAGAACAAGAACCACCTTCACCAGCTGCAGGTAGCAAGACAAGAGGCGGGATGAGCCGGGGCAGAGACTGAACTTTCAAATTAAAACACCCATATAGCAGCTCATAAATAAATAACAGGGATGTCCAAACGAATACTCCATAAGAACTAAGCAAAAACTGTGATTGGTTGTGACATTGGTTGTTTGTAAACAGAAGACAGCACTGTGGGAGAAAGAAGCGTAACACAGCGGAAAGATACAAATTACCTCTTCCTGTCAGGACTTTCAAAATAAAATCAGCAGATCGTGGTTTAGATCATGGATTGAGATTCAATTCAAAAAGACAGTCATATGATCTTTTGGCCAGATCACCCATCACTAAATGCAGCGATGGCTCCTGCCCCCCACCCTCACAAAACAGATCCTACAAAGAAACTCAATGATTTCAATTTGCAGGTCACTAATATTTACAGCTCTGAGTCAGTGTTTCAGCTCATGATTCTCACTCATAAACTGTGGTTTTTGTTAATACAATATTTTTTTTACATTTTATTGTCTTAATTTTGTTGTGTTCCCGATTCTTTATTCTGTGTTGCATATAAAATAAACAAACAAATTGGGACTACAGTGAATACAATATGTGTTATAAATTATATTTACAGGTTATATAAATTATAGCTGCTTTTGAAAGTAATCGGAGAAAACAAGATCAATAAGATATAAGATCAAACTGATCTACAGTGAGAAACAGGCAGGAAAAGAAACAGGACACTGAGTAATAAAGATGATGAAGTGGAGAAGAGCAGGACTTACTCTACAGTGGAGATGGGACGGGATTTACTTGATGTAAGCTCCTTTGTCACAAGTCGTAGCAAAAGCTGTACAAACATTCACACAATCAGTTATCACAGTAGTTCATATATTTACACAGAAGACATCAGCGCTGCATTTAAAGCTGTATTCGTTGATTTTTGGCCACTGGGGGAAACAAAACAAACTGAAAACACATCTAACATGTTACTGCCTTATTAAGGTGTTATGGTGACATCCAGAGGCAATGGTGGGAGAAACAGTGTACAGTGAGTTCATCAGAGCTGTCTCACGGAGAACCGAGAGTCTCTGTTACAAGAGGCTGAAGAGCTGAGTGTAATAGAGGGAGCTGCAGAGCTGGAGATAATTAAACCAGTGTTTATACAAGCATGAAATAAGCATTGTTTAGAGCAGCTTTAACTCAGTGAAAACTACTGACAGCTTCCTCTGGTGTTGGCACTGATGCTTGTGTTGTTGATAGTTTTCACTCACCAACAGAGCAAGGAAGTCCGCAGTCATGAGCATGTAGAAGACCTGATCCCAGCCGCCTGCAGACAACAGACCAGCCAGCAGGGGGCCCAGTGCTGCACCTGACACCACAGACATCAGCAGATCAGTGTTTGTAGGTGGACTATCCTACTCAGTTTTCACTTGTCATTATGGGTGTAGAGTGTAGACTGATGAGGGAAAAACTATTTTAGCATCAGGCTGCAGCCTCATAACAAGATGTGAAAAAAGTACACACACACACAAACACATATATATACACACACAGAAGCCAAGATGTTCTTTTCTAACTGGTACTGACCTACAGACCCTGTACCATCAATGATGGCAGTGACAGTGGACAGTGCTCTAGCGTTGCCTTTCAGGCTCTTGTGGGTCCCCTGGGATCAGAGGTAAACAGAGAGGGAGACAGAGAGATGAGGGGGTGGGACGGCTCCTGAACACTGGAATCAGACCAGACTTGAACATGCTTACCAAATCAGCGGACACTGCAGTTGTGATGAGGGCATATGGCCCATTGACGAGACCTCCACACACCAGGAGCATGCCTGAAACACAGACTGGTGTTTTTATTGTTGTTTTCAGTGATCGAGTCACTACATCCTCCTGTACACCTGTACCTGTACAACTGTGTCTCTACCAGCTGATCAAATATGCACACTTACTGATGAGGCTAAGACCACTTTGGTGACCTGTGTGACGATGATTATACAACATCAGAGCTGCTGCTGTGTCACATGATGCGACAGTCCTTCAGTGTATTGTGAGGATAATGAGCAGCCGCTGGACCATCATCAGCTCAGTGTGAATGATAAGAGTCATCAGTCTGCTCTCAACGAGCCACTGATGATCACTAAAGCTCCATTAATCACCCAATCAATGCTGATGAGCTCCTCTGATAAAGGTAGCCAGGTCATCATGTGACCTCGAATATCTGGACCTCACACATGATTATCAGCTAGAAAAGAAGGTGAAGTGTTGGTATTTCTGTCTCCAACACATTGTTCTGGAGCTGTTACAGAAGATGTTTGGCTGAATAATTCAGAAAACTCTGAAGAAAGTTCTGTTTGTCATCTAATGAATGAATCAGCTCATCAGCAGCCACTGACTCTGACTGAGCTGAGGAGGGAGGTTTGGATCTTACCGATGGTCGGCCCCAGACCGAACTCACTGATCATGGAGAAACCATACAGCTGCAAGACAAAGACAGGGAAGGACAGTCAAACACTCACAGTCACCTTCATCACTCACCTGTCTGAACACATCAGCAGCATCCTAACTTTACATCAAGCTCCAATGACAGGAAGAGATCTGAGTGTAATGACTGACTTCATGCACTGGTCTCAGGTGACTCAGTGTTAGAAACCCTCTGGATGAGGAAACTTACTGTAGGAGCAGCCAACAGCAACATGACTGCACAGGTGGTGGCTCTCTTCCCCAGCTTATCAGAGATCACTCCTGACAGGATCCCCCCTGCACGCACACACACACACACAGACACAAACACACACGTCAGGAAAATACCATTACCTATGACCTAATTCACAATGGTAAGTAAATATTGACTTTGAGTGAATGTAGGATGGAAAATAACATTTATTTGTGCACACAAACACCCCGCCACACACACACATACACCACCCCACCCCTCCACACACACACACTCTCTCACATATCTCTCCCTCTCAAGAGCTAAGTAAGAGGTACATGTGAACAAAAGCACTTACCCACAATTCCTCCCACATCAAACAGGGTGGACAGATCTCCAGCCTTCTTGGCATCCAGGTGAGCTGAGACACACACACAAACACACACACACACACACACACACACACACACACACACACACACACACACACACACACACACACACACACATGGATGTAAAGGCTGCAGCAGTATAAGAGGAAACATGCACAGTCAGACAGAGAGAGATGTGCTGCCTGTTCCACCTTCTAACATCACAAATACATTTATTCTTTCAATCATGAATCATCTGTACAGCACAAAGAAAACTAGAAAATTCCAGGGAAATTTTGAGTGCCACGGGGGCTACTGCCGGGATGAGTACATGATTTATTTCCAGTGTTCAAAAGTCACCCTGATCATATTCTGGTTTTGAGAAATGTCTTGATATAAAAGACTCTGATATAAAACAATGTATGCAAAAAAAAGCAGAAAAAAATATTGATATATGATGATTTTATAGCATTTTCTTTGTGTGTCCTTTTTTGGACGCGAGGAACCCCAGAGGGTACAAAATGTGTTACCAGTGTATAATAGACCTGTAACAGTAACTGACATTAGATTTTAAAAATATGTCAAAAAAGACACTTTCTTGCAGAAATCCATACCTTCAGCTGTAACACAGCCAAAATGATCAGCAAATCAAAAAAGAAAAGTGAAGAAAATGTCCAAAAAAGGACAGAGGGACCCCTGAGGGTTAATAAATCCCATGAACCGCTATTTAAATTACCACTATTATGTTTTTTTCGGTGCTAAATTTAACATTACTGGGGAGGAGAGCAACGCGACTAGAAGTGACAGCGAGAGAGGGCTAGTAGCTTCTCCTCTCCTCTGTCTCAGCGGAGACCGTCACAACTTCATTCACTCATTTAACAAAACAAAAAGAAAAGCAACAAAGGAAGCAGTAAATGGACTTACATATTTAAGACCTAACTAAATGTAATTTAAGACCTAACATGCGGCTAATGTAAAGCTAGCGGAGCTTGGAGAGTTGGTTATCTGGTTGCTAGGCACGCACACACGCACACAGGTCAGGAGCTGCCGTTGCCATGGCAATGTGAAAATCTGCCCAGAATTTGGCTTCTACATGGCTTAAAACAATTGCAAATTATGAGAAAACCGTTACTTCTTTTCAAAAACCGAAAACACCGTGACAGACACTGAAGCCAGAAGTTTCTTACAGTCTCTATTTTATTCAGATATTCCTTAAAATGAGTGAGTAAGCTCAGTGCGAAGACAGAGTGAGATTCTTTTGAAAAAAAAAAGACGATTACATTAGGTGTCAATGAGAGTGAGACAGGTATTGCTGCCGGACTCGGCACCCCCGTTTAAATTTTGTGCAGACCCTGCCTGTCAAAGTTACATTTTATGAATCCCAACAACTATGTCTACATTTTCAGAAAGAATTATTTGTCTCCTTTTTACGGTTTGGCCGTGAGCTCGAGTTAAAAATAAAAATAAAGGTTATTTTTTACTGCTTCACGCACTCTAGCCAACTGACGCTGTCACTCTAACTTTGAAGAAAAAGTGATTTCCACTCCTCCTTTGAGTGCTCATAGTTTGAAAAGTTTACATGTTATGTAAAAACAGTTGCTGTATTTTTGAGAGAGCAGAAGTTTTCCTCCGTTTTATAGTTTGAATCACATTTCTACGTGCAGGTATGAGAGAGCTGGGTGACTCAGACAAAAGGTGAAATTTTGTGGGTTTTTAAAGAAAATTCCAATGCATTCCTAATGCATTATTTATTCCCAGTATTTTGGGAATAACTTTGGGAAAAATTGGAATTTTAACACCAAAAGTCATAGCACCTCTTTCGGGGACAAGACGCACGTCTTGATGTATATATTACCGGGGTTTTCTCAAAGCTGCGGGCACTCCTCTCAGCTATTCTAGCTGTAGAGGAGTGCCTCGGAGCTGAGCACCCGTGGCACTAATAAAACCTGTTAAAGTCTAAAACAGTGTGAAAGAGCTGAGTTTTAAGAGTTTTACGCTGCTGGGGAGATTCACATCAGTCTAGACCAGTGGTTCCCAACCACTGGGGCTGCAAAGGTATTGTAAGTTGACTGACAAATCATTTAAACTTGAACATTGATCTTTAAAATCATTTAAAATTTTGAAAAATTCTTTCACTGTTTTTTGTTTCGTATTAAGGCCTATCACTGTGATAAACCATTGACAGGAACTTTTAGGCTGTCGCCAGCTGGATTACATCGTATACTTTCTTGTTATCTCGGTGTGATTCAAAGATCACATCTATAGTAAAAACTAGAGAATCAGAATGATAGCTGGGTATTAACAGGAAGAATTAAAGGAAAGAGAGACAGAGACAGATGGTGAATTGACAACCGATCTCTACCCATTAAACAAAAAAGAAAAACTGAGCTTCCCCTGCTTTCGCTTCAGTCCTGAATGTTCAATCAGAGTGAGCTCCCCACACACTCAGAGTGGTCATTAATGAAGTTTTAAAATATGAGAGAACAGCACAGAGTCAGCTCCATAGAATTGAAGGGTAACTTACATGACTGACTGTTCAAACCCACAGAGTTCTTTTAATGGGAGGACATCTAAAATTTTCTGAAGATTCCACAAGTCACAGTGAATTCAGGGTAAACATACACAACACAATGTAATGGTATAGTTACAGAATTATGGTGATGTTCATGGTGTCATCATGGTGTCAGAGTGGATAATGACACAAGCAGACACAGAAGATTACTGTGTGTTGTCACAAATGACAATTTGGTGATGTGACTCTTCATTTGTGAAATTTGGTGAAGATGATATAAAAAATTAAAAGCTGTGAAAACATTTTAAAAGTTTGAGACTGAATTCAAACTGGTGGACACCTGTGTGTTCAGAGAGGATAGGTCTAATCTTCAGAATCCAGAAACTTCTTTTAGTTCATTTGCTTCAGAATTTAGCAGCAGAAACAGGAAGATCTTTCTCATAGCAGCTGACATGAATGTTGTTGTGTGTAACTGTGGTTAAATGGCTGTGTAACTTTGCTACAGAAGAAGAATAAACCAGTGGTGCTTGGACTCTGCTCATGGTCCTCACCTGCTTTAGTGATGTACAGCGGCAGCCAGAAGAGAAAGGTGTAACTGACCAGCTTAGCAAACAGCAGACACAGAGAGAACTCGATCACTCCCTGGGAAGACAAATACACAAACATCACACACACACAGGTGTTAGTACAGCAGCCTTTTTCTGACTGAATGGCACCTGTCACAGATGACACAGAGACACGATGAATGTCTGAACACTTGATCTCTGATAGATCGATAGATTGATAGATCGATACTTTATTTATCCCCTAGGGGTAATTCATGTGACTGGAGGGTCTGAGACGGTTATCCCAACTCACAATCTCACAACTTGGATCTTATGTTGTAGTTTTGACCGTAATTCATACTGGCTATGGTAACACACTACTGACAAAGTTAATTACAACATTAAACAACCAATCAACACAAGCAATTAGCACACTCAGACAGGTTGGACACAAGACAGAAATATCTATTCCCATGAATAAACTATGCCTACAATCAGCTCAGAAAATCACCTGCACACAGCTATATTCACAGATCCTGATCCTATACAAAGATAAGGACTCCTCCCAGTCGAGGGGAGGCACTGAATTTCATTGTACAGCTGTGCAATGATTAATAAAGGCATTTTTTTCTATTCTACAACTACCAAAAGTAAGGTAGGTCAAAGTTGAAGCAGGAAGTCATCCTGGAAGCTGTGATGGACATTTACAGCCGACTTTTGTTCTGATTTTACCTTAATTTGTCTTCAAACTAAAACCAGTGGGGCTGATCCTGTGACTGCTCATATTTGACGTCAGCAATTCATCTGTTGGTATAATGTGATCACAAGTGACAGAACCAATGACCAAACTATGAGATAAGATCCACGTTGTGTGGGTATGTGTGTGTGGTGTGAGACTGACTGGTATCCGGAGAGCTCCCATGAAGCTGATGGCAGACGGCTCTGAGTCGTTCTTCACCACCACGACGGGCTGCACAGGGACTCGCACACTGTCTCTGGGCAGCAGCAGCTCTGTGTCATAGCTCTGAGGAAGAGGAGGCAAACATCAGGGGACCTACTGGACTTCTGTCACTGCACCCAATCCACCCAGTCCACCCGGTAAATCAGAAGAGCCAATCAGTCACAGTTTTTTAATGTTTCAGGAATTTTAAATTAGGATTGATCAGGACTGACTGACAGTTTAGTTCACGCAGCAGCTTGAAGATAATCTGATAGAGGTGAATTAGCAAAGTGTGATTTAAATAGAAATTATTCTTGGAAAAAAGAATATCACACATTGACACACACAGGTCCCAGATACTGTGTCAGCTTTAATCTGAACTGTTTCTGGTGTAATAGATGGATCATTACATGAAGGGGCCAAAGATCAAACTGACATTGTGAAGATTGGAAGGAACAGCTGCATGAAGTAAACCCAACTCCATCATCCCATAAAGGTCCAAGAAACCCTGAGACTGAAGCCAAATGTCCTGACCTCAGGTCTGACAGGGGACGTAAACCCTCAGCAGCCTGATGATGATGATGATGATGAAGTGCAGCATGTTTTTAAGTGGACATTTGGAATCAGCCTGAGAATTATTCACCCAGTACCTGACAGGAACTGACCTTCCTGTTCTGAACACTATCCTCGTAACAGTAGTAGTACACCTGAATGAATCACAACCACATGTTAAACTTACTAAAGCAACAGCATCTGCCCTCTGATACTCACATTATTTAATGTCACTGATTTACAGAGCTACCACTTTGTTAGGTATACCTGAACAATCTAAACACTCCATTTCAGACTATTATTTGGTTGTTGTTGTTGTTGTTGTTGTTGTTGTTGTTGTTGTTGTTGTTGTTGTTGTTGTTGTTGTTGTTGTTGTTGTTGTTGTTGTAACTGCATTGATCAGAGTCAGTATGACAGTATGAAAACATTTACCATGCATGTTTCAGATCACTTCAATCTGTTACTATGCTTTTTGTATGCAAGATAAACAAAAACTTTTAAAAGTGTTTCTGGATTTTTCTGTTAAAACAGATTGAAAATAGATTTTCTGAGGTTCCAACATTAGATTTTCTGCTCAAAGTCAAACTGATGATTGTTGTTTATGCTGTGATGAACATTTAATGCTACAGAAAAAAAGACTCAGGTGTTTACAGGTGCTTTAAAGTTGACTAGCACTATATGTGAAATACATGATGCATTAACATACACACAGTGACACACACCTGGGTTTTGTTGTCCTTGTATTGCAGATACACCTCAGTGTTTCCATTTACTCCATTCCAACTCTTGGTGGGAACCTGCTTAAAGAGACAGTACATCACATACATTATTACTCACACTGTCACTCAGTGCTCTGGACCTGCAGGTGAGCGAGCTGATTTTAATAAACCAATAGTCATATTCATATTGTATTGAAGTATATTTTCATCATTGTATTTTAAATGTCTAACAGCTGTTGAGTTCGAAACAGGTAAATTCGGATTCTCAGTACAAATGAGTAGTAAACACACAGATAGAGGATCCACTGACTGTGTGTTAGATAACACAGTGCACACCATGATACACACAGTACAAACTACAATGTTACTGCTGGAGATGAGCTGAAACACACAGAGAAGACAGACTGACACATAAAAGACAAACACACAGAGAGAGGTGTGTCTCCTGACTATAAACCTCAGTAAAGCTCTGTACTCACACTCTTGCCTGGGGAAGAATTCTGAGCATAGATGCTTTTCAGGTCATTTGGATCTGTGGAGGGAAAAACATGGGGTTTATATGATACTCTTCCATTTCCAGCTGTGAAGTCCTGCTAACAGCTGTCAGCTGACTACTCTCACTTGTAATTAGAGCTCTTCCTTTATATATCTGATGAGTATTTCTTTCAGCAAGTCAAAGACATTAGTGAAGAAATTATCTCTTTAAACAGAAACTCACTCATTAATGTGTGGACTTTAAGAAAGTTCAGTTAAATCCTCCAAACACAGTGAGGAAAATAAATCAGCTACATATCACCATATTGTAGCCCACCAGCCAATGAGGAGGCTGCACTCACGCTCAATGAGGAAAAAGAAGCACACAATGCCCATGGCTGCGATGAGGAGCCCCGGCACGATGAACGACAGGCCCCAGTTGGAGGAGACCCAGTATCCTGCGATCAGAGAGCCCAGGATGTTTCCCACTGAGGTGTGGGAGTTCCACAGCCCCATGATGAGTCCACGCCTGAGAGGAGGAGCGGACACATCACAGGATCAGTCAGCCTGAGAGCCAGATCTGTTGTCCTGAATCTAAACTGAACCATGCATCTGTGTTCACATCCAGCTGTTTCATCAGTTAAATGGCTTTACAGAAAAGAAATGCATCACACCATCACACTATTTTCCTTAAATGAGTGTGAACTCTTTTTAGTCTGTGTTAGGGGTGGTAAATACTCCACTGAGAGAACATCCTCAACAACTCTGTAACCACCTTCAGGTTTGAAGAGTCAAATCATTTTTAGTTAATGAAACAGTGATAAATTCAATGTCTTTAAATGTCACTGCTCCTTGTAGGACCTTCCCTCTGCAAACTATCATTGAAATCACCATTAGTCATTTTTTCATCATTGATTTATATCTATAGCTGACCATCTCATCTCAGCAAAACTGTGTGGACCCCAGAAAGAATAGCTGCTGTAATGTAAATGCTAACAGGGATCTTGATAAACAAACAAACAAACAAACAGCAAGCTGAGGTGCAATACGACACATGTCCATGTTAACAGATAAGAAGCTGCAGAAGCTGCTGTCTCATTAGTCAGTGTCATTATAAGCCAATGATAAATCAGTGACTGATGCAAATTCAATTTTTGCAGTTCTTTCTGGTTGGTGCAAACAAAGGAGGCGGAGTCTTGAAACCAAAGACACGTACAGATATACAGACTGTGGCAGAAATAATAAGCTGTTTCATTCCAGTTGGAGTAATGAAATCTAATTATATCACACCACATATTTAACAGCTTCTTATGGTACATTCACATGATGGTCACACTGCATCACTGCTCATAAAGTGTCATAAAAGCCTCATCAGTCGACCTGAAACAAACCATATGCTCCAGTCTGAGGGTGATCAGGTCTCACCTTCCCTTTCCAAACCAGTTGCTGATGCAGGTCACCACGCTGGGCCAGCCGGTGGTTTGGACCAGGCCATTAGCCACCTGAAATCAAAGAAGCAGACTGAGGACAGCTCATTTAAACTGAGGTGTTAGAAAGGAAGTCATTCAGCCGCTCTCTTGGTTGACTGTGTGTATTATTTGGTGACCACGTGTAAATTCATGTGTATATAAACCTCTGATCATGAGTAGATGTGTGCACGTCTGTGTGATACAGGCATTTATTCAGCTCCTTATGTGCTGACACAGTCCTGAGGAGATATTTAATTCTGATAGATGACACAATAACTAACCTGAGCTTTAAAGAACTTCCCTTATAGCAGATGTACCACTGTGCGTGTGACTGCAGGCTCTATTAGCAGCAGTGAGTTGTCTCACCTGGACAAATATGTAGAAGCCCAGGCTGTGGATGTTGTAAACGTAACCCAGTCCAAACAGGCAGGTGAACAAGCCGCTGGTCAGCATGCCCACAGTCAGGTACAGTCGAATGGGAAGACGCTCCCCAATGATGCCACTGCACAGACACACGGTGATGACATCATGTTAACCACAGTCCCTGAGGGTGGTTGTGATCTTCCACCTGTGGCCCTGACCTCACTAGTAACCTGGTTTATCAAGAAGGCACTACAGGGAGGTGTGGAGGATTCACTATATCTCCTATTTATTTATAGGAACAAAAGAGGGTTGATGGAACTGCCATACCTTTCTCAAAGCTGAGGTCCACACATGGTTACTATTTTTATATTTCTCTTCTGCTTTAAAGACAGACGAGCTCCACATTTTAGCCAATAAATGATTAGAAATGTTGGATTTTCTGGTGGACTGATCCCAGTGTGTAAGTAAATGACACTATATCTGACATTTTGTGTTTATTCTGCTGGCTCACCACCAGGCTATGTCCTGTTACCAGAGACGAAGCTTGTGAACAGGGAAGGCAGGCAACTGCTCTGGGCCCCAGGCTGTTAAGGGGCCCCCAAGGGTTGACAAACTTAACTCCACAGCAATGTCTTAAAATACAAACCCCTCCCCTAAACAACCCATCAATGATTTGTAATGACATCTCAATAAGAAACCTCCTTAAAGGGGCCCCATGTCGTTCCCTGGACGATTTGCAGCAACATCTCAGAGAAGTGATGCCAAGTATTTTCAGTAAATCCTGCACATACATTTTCAAGCAGCTCCTCAATGTGAATCTAAACCTAACACTTTAATATTAAAAAAAATGTTTTATACAGACTATTGCTCCGACTGTGTAACTGAAGTATCATGAATAAATTCACTATTGTTATATTGTTATGGGCTCTAGGTATAGCTCTTGTTGTTGTTGTGTGTTACATTTCATGGTGCAGTTTTCTCCTTCTGAATTAAGGCTGGGGTGACCTATCATCCGCTACTCCGGAAGGGGATTTCCGCATCGTCCACTCCTCCACATCGCTCCTCTCTGTCTGTGCCTGGGTGGTCCTCGTTTTCAGCTGGTCCCTCCCCTCGCGTTGGTCCCAGCCGCCTATCACAAGCTTGCGTGGTCCCATCCTCGGCCGTATAAAGTGTGCCTCATGGAAATGGCTGGGGTGGGCTGTGATTTAATCTGAGCAGTCCGCCTCTGTACCTCGTTGTTGTGACTGTCTAACTGTCAACGTGTGTGCTGTAGCTCTTCTGAAGTGGCTTCGTGATTGTGAATGTTGACTCGTGGGGGCACTAGTTTCACAGTTCGGGGATCTTGGGCTATAGGCTTTAGTTTTAGTTCAGGTTATCCTAAAGGAGTTTTAAATCAAAACGCAACTGGACTTGATTATTTGTCTGGGAAGACGTTTCACCTCTCATCCAAGAGGCTTCATCAGTTCGTGTACGCATCTGACCAGGCTGGGACTGGTCTAACTTTCTGGTGTGGAGACCCAAGTATTTAACCTCTTGTGGGCATTCACAAGGCTGATGATGTCATTGGTTTCTGTTCGTGCTCCAAGTGTCAACGACAGTCGTTTGCACGACCGTTCGTTAGTGCTCTATTGTGTTATAACGACAGTCGTTGGAGTCACTTGGGATCAGTGACAGTCGTTGGCATAACTATCGTTGGTGGACTCGCCTGATACCATCCTCAGAATGTTGCTTCTCTTGTTCCTAAACATCTACAGGTTGTAACATATATGCTTAGTCATTTAGATTAAAAACAACTGGTCGTTAGGTATGCCTATTCACAGCTCATTCAAGTCTGTGTCTGGCTGGTTATATTTTGAAAATTCTATTAATGTGAACATTTGGAATTAAAAAAAAATTGGTTTTGTAAATTTTTCGTTGGTGCCAGATTATTTACTACATAATGGTGATAAAAGCTGATTGGAGGGGCCCCCTGGCAATGTTTTGCCCAAGGCCCAATGTACTCTACAACTGTCACTGCCTGTTACTGTTTCTTTTTATATACTGTAACCATCAACTGCAGAGGTTCCTGCCTTGAAACAACTGGACTGTTGTAGTGATGTTGTAATGATACAGCACATGGTCCAGTGGTCTATAGATTTTAGCCCTGTTCTCACATTGAGGGTCAGATCACTGAACAGGTACAGTACAAATACCTGGACACCATGATTGTAGCAAGCTGACATTAAAGGATCACACAGTGACTAGAGCTCAGCTGGTTGGAGATGCGAACTAAACTGATGACTCTTCTAAAGCTCCATGATGAAGTCACTCATCACCTCTATTAGTTCAGTCATCTCTCTACTGGTGACAAGAATATACAGTTGAATTGCCTGATCATTTCAAAGTCAACTTCCTCCGTCTGGAGAGTTTAGGCTCATGATGTGTTTCCCATGTAACCATGACAACAGTGATGGTCTGATATTTGGACTCAAATGTGATACGTGAACTCACACTTGGCTTTAAATTGTCAGTAGTTGTCTTTATAGTTCATGTATGTTTTAATGTTTTACTAAACAGATTTCCTCTTGGGGACAACAAAGTGAATTAAAGTCAGTTTTAATGTAGGATACCATTGTGGGGTTTTGATATAATTTTATTTTCATCTATTTAAGTGTATCTGTTATGTTATCTGTTGAAAGATGTTCCTGATTTCTCCATCACTAATGACTGAATGAATGCTATTTCTGTATTGGTTACATTCACATACTTACTAGCCTACATACTCACCTGGCCTGATTCAGTTCACCTCTGTTATAAATAAAGCTCCTGTGGTCATCTCACCTGAGGTACATTCCCACAGCATAGGCACAGAGAAAGGAGTAGTCCATGGCTCCCAGCAGCTGTTTGTAGTTACTTTTATCTGAGGATATCAAGAAAAACTAAAGTTCAGGACTTTACCGACCTGGTTCAGCTGTTTACTGACCTTTTTATTTACAGCTTCTTCCTTGACAAAAGCTACAGAAAACAAACTGTAAAAGCAACAGTGTACTACTACATTACTAGGGCTGGGTTGAAAGAATCCATTCTCCGATTAAAATCGATCTTCATTTGAATAATCCGATATCGATTCATAAAAGCCAAGATCGATCTTTTAACATTTGATTTTACACTCTCCTGTGGATGTGTAAAGCTGTCATAACTAGATCTGGTCAGGTGAGTGTAGGTGTAGTGCTGCCTGAACTGCCGGAGACACCTGAACCACGCTCCGCCACTTTTTTTCCTCAGTAAATAAAATATTCACAATTCACAGAATCCAATTGAAATGTATAGCCTCTAGATTGTGCGGACAGCTTGTGCTGCCGGAGATGAAAGCTAACTAAGCTACGTTAGCCTGTTAGCTTAACCTGACCTCTTCCTGCACTGCAGTTTCTCAGAATGGTTGTTTCCAATGCGGCTTCATTTGTTTGACTCAAGTCAGTTAATGAATGTAAACTTGTCACCGTAGGAACAGTGGTTTCATAATGTTTAAAACGTGCCACAACTCAACCATGCGCGTGCAACGTACGTGCGCTCCGGTACGTGAACAAACAGCAGTACACCTGTGCACGTGACAGTCAAAAACATGACAGAGAAGGTCCCTATGAAGTCAGCGGCAAGTCTAAAGACAAATGTGTAGCTGCATTTCAGATTTAAAAACTATGAAGACAGGTAAGAGCTGGACTAAAGCAAGGCTATATGTGAGACGTGAAGAAGAAGCTGTGTTTATCTGTTCATACACAGTGTAGCAGGTGCACTGGGGTATGTTAACAACGCACATTATATCTATTATTCCTTGAGATGGTTCTAAACTGTTGGTTATGTTAAATAGACAGCGCATTAATGTAAGTGCTTTGTGTCCATTCGTAATGTAAACAAAATAATGCACCGGGTTAGAGGAACCATTTTTACAGCATTAGTTCTCTGAGAATCTCATTCATATCCAAGAAAAAATCATATCGTAACTGAAATATGTCTGACTGAATTGATATCAAATCGAATCGAATCGGGACCTTGTGAATTGAAATCATACAGATTCAGGAAATCAGTTGCAATACCCAACCCTATACATTACATTACATTATTCTTATGTAATAAACTTTGTGATTCATATCAGTATCATATGGATTTTCAGAAAACTAATATAAGCTAAAGGGACAGTATCATGTTGCTTCAGCAACATTAAGATGACTTGAGAACATCCACTACAATGACACCTCTAACTGTCACTGTGGAAGGAGTCCAGTGAATACAAACCAAAAGGCTTCCAGCTACAGTCCATGTCTGTGTGGAGAGACGGTGGAGAGGCCTGCTGGCTGTCACTGCTGCTGCTGCTGCTGCTGGAGGTCATGGTGGCGAGCTCAATGACAGAGGAGCAGTTCTTATGGAGCTCACTCTGTCAACACAAAGGCAGCGCACCATTCATTCAACCAGAAAACACCACAGCTAACACACACAGACTGTAAGGAAGAAAACATACGGCTGAGATGTAAATGTTCCATCTATCTGATGACATATTTTACACTTTATTAGGAACAGCTGTACACCTGCTTATTCATGCAATTTTCCAATCAGCCAATCATGTGGCAGCAGTGCAGTGTATAAACCCCTGCTTATCCAGATCAGGAGCTTCAGTTAATGTTCAATGGCAGTGTCAATGTGCAGCTGACAGATCTGAGATGATGTCTGTGAGGAGTCTGTCATCCAAGAAAAACTGAATTGAGGTCAACTGGACAACTTCTCCAGTTCACTTCAGAATTGAACCAGGTGGTCCACATGGGGCCGGCTTGGACAAGGCTCCAACCACGAGCACACTGAGCAGCATATTTTTTAGGCATGTCCCAGCCGTACATTGAGGAGTTCCATGAATGCTGGCCATACACCAACTCTCTTTCTCACCACACAACCAATAGCAGGGCCTTGGTGTCCATGCAAACTGTCAACAGTTACAGACTGGACCACATGTCATCTGTGGAGCCATCTCTTGACTCATTCATTGTGTCACCAGATGAGGAATTGATACATTATGCTGTTATGCAAGATGCAGATGTATGAGCTCATGAATGTGATCTGTTACCTTGACGATGCTAATGGGTTTCCTCGAGAGGTGGAAACTGGTGTAGAGCAGGAAGGTGAGGATAAAGGTGAGAGCTTTGTACCTGCAGAGAGGAAACACAAGAGGGAAGCAGTGAGAGGTAAGATCCAAACACCAGCACTACCCTTGAAACCTGCATGTTCAGGTTTAGTGTGACGTGAGTGGGTGACAGGAAGCTTACACCTTTAATGTTTTAAAAGCTCATTTCACTTTCACTTTCAGTCAGACATGTACAGCCACAGCAAACACACCTGCAGAGATCACTTCACAGAGATTACTCCACGTCTCTCAGAGAAAAGATGTTATGTGGGATATATTTGTGTAACAGATACACAAAAGTTGGCGGCTCACGTTGTGTCTTTTCCAGTCTACAGCCGATCTGACCTCCATGACCACAGATACAACACACGTCAGATGCCAGGAGAAGAGTTGTGAAATATGTTGGCACACAAAGTGCAAGCTATTAACATGTGGCTGAGGTCTGAATGATTATTCATTTCACTGGAACAGAACTGAAATTCATTCTGTTCACTTCATCTCAGGCAGGTTTACACTCATTTATGCTGTTTTTTTAATCTGTCCTGATGTTAACAGCAGTTGTCTGTGTGTTAAGTGTTAAAGAGGATCTGGACAGTAGTGATCAGCTGGCTGAGGATGAGCCTGAGGTCTGTCTCTACTCTGTTCTGTAGTGCAGACCATGTCTCAGCCCTGCAGCAGACACTGGTGATGGACTGAGGAGCAGTTTGAGAAGAGAAGCTGTGAGCCTGTTCCAGTGTGTTGCAATGTGTCACTGTCACTTTTAGTTTCTCCGCTCCCCACCTGTGGAACCAGCTTCCTGAACACCTGAGCTCTGTTGAAACTGTCAGTTCATTTAAATCAGGATTTAAAACATCACTTTTTACTGCAGCTCACCAATAAATGCCTCTGTTAAACAATTTGGATTGCCTTCTGTCTGAATGGTGATATATAAATAAACGGGCCTTGCTAAAGCTGCACATGATTTATAGTAATAAAATATCAATCTCACAATACAGCCCTTCTCTTTTATTAAAGAGACATTTTAAAGTCTGATAAGACAGAAGTGCTGCACAATTAATCAAAATATAATCAAAATCTCAATATGGCCAAGTGCATCATCCAAATCACAGGAGCTGCAACTTTTTTGATAAAGATAAAATGTGTCACAGTTGTTCATTGTTAGCATCATAAGTGTTGTGGTGCTACAGAGACACCCCGGACTACAAATCATATCCTCCAGACATAAAGGAACATGTTTGTTTGGCACAAGACTCAACAAAAATCACATCATTATCATTTTTACATTTTTTTCTGTGAAAATGAAATGCAAAAAACGACCATTCCAACTGAAATCACAATTTCTGCCAAAATAATTGCAATATGATTTTTTGTGTATTGTGCAGCTCTAAAAATTCTATAAACAGAAACAGTTGAGAAAGGAGACAGTTCACTTTTAATTATTTCCCGTAACTGTGTCATGAGGGTTTTTCCACCTCCCCACCCCTTTAGGAGACCAGCAGCAGAGTCTGTTCATTCCATAGTCCCTGAAATAAATACTGGATCAATTTTTCACAAGCCACAGATCTTCAGAACACTCTGACACCAAAATGTAATTTTTCAGACACAGAAATTAGGAAAAAATTAACTTTATTCAAGACCTGTCTCTGTCTCGGCAACAAACTCTCACAAGATCTGATGACACAGATCTCTATTCACTCTGTTCTCTGGTTTCACTTCTACGGAAGATTGCATGTGAAATTACATGTGATTTTTTTTTCTATTCTATTCTAATTCTACAAAAAAAAAACTTTTATGTTGTTTTCCAATCATGCCCACACCCACTTAGGAGACAGGAAGTGGATGCCATTTCATACCAGTGGCGCTGCTTGTATTTCATCTTTGTTATAGAGTCTGTGGCCTAAAACACTATTATGAGACTCAGTCATTATTCACATTATGGATGGATGGATGGATGGAAAGATACTAGATGAGACGTTTGCTGCACCTGTAGCTGCTTCTCTGTCCTGAGTGTTTTGGAGAGGATGGTTAGTATTGTCCAAGATGGCCTCCATCTTACATTGCATGCGTCTCTCCAAAACAGTCCTGAGTGAGTCCAGACTCCTGCCAAGCACAGACCCAGCCTTTTTGACCAGCTTGTCCAGCCTCCTTGTGTTCATGTCAGACATGGTGCTGCCCCACACTGCAGCATAAAAGAGTACACTGGCCACCACTGACTGATAAAACATCTGCTCATACCACAAAGGATACTTGTTTGCGATAAGCTGGCAGGTGTCTGTTTAAATGGTGAACAGGACACCTGAAGCAGACAGTTTAAACTAAGTGTCCATGAGAATATGAATGAAATTATTAATGTCTTCCATAACCGAGGATTGGACCGCCAAGGCCCCCGCCTTGGTCTGCTGCCCAATCCACACTGCACCTGATCCCGCTGACTCTTCCTGCAGGTGGTGAGCCCACTGGGAGACGAACCCATGTAGCCGGTTCAGGCTGGGCCCGGCTGGGCCCCATGGGCCAAGGCCCGGCCACCAGGCGCTCGCCCACGGGCCCCAACCCTAGGCCTGGCTCCAGGGCAGGGCCCCGGTGTCCCTCCGGGCCAGGTACTCAGGTTCTTGATGTTTTTCATCATTAGGATCTTCTGAACCGTTCTTCGTCTGGCCCTTCACCTGGGACCAATCTGCCTTGGGAGACACTACCAGGGGCAAAATGCCCCCGACAACATAGCTCCTAGGGTCAATAGGGTTCTCAAACTCCTCCACCACGGTAAGGTGACGGTTCAAGGAGGAGAAGGTGACGGTTCAAGGAGGAGCCGGTTCTGTTCATAACTTTTATGGACAGAATTTCTAGGCGCAGCCGGGTGGTGGAGGGGTTTGGGTTCGGTGGCGGGAGGATCTCGTCTCTGCTTTTTGCGGATGATGTGGTCCTCTTAGCTTCATCGAGCGCCGACCTTCAGCTCTCGCTTGGGCGGTTCACGGCCGAGTGTGAAGCGGCTGGGATGAAGATCAGCACCTCCAAGTCTGAGGCCATGGTTCTCAGCCAGAAACGGGTGGATTGCCCACTCCGGGTTGGGGGGGAGGCTCTGCCCCAGGTGGAGGAGTTTAAGTATCTCCGGATCTTGTTCACGAGTGAGGGTAGGATGGAGCGGGAGATCGACAGGCGGATTGGGGCGGTGTCAGCAGTGATGCGGGCGCTGAACCGGTCCGTTGTGGGGAAGAGAGAGCTAAGCCGGAAGGCGAAGCTCTCGAATTTCCAGTCGATCTACGTTCCAATCCTCACCTATGGTCATGAGCTTTGGGTAATGACCGAAAGAACGAGATCGCGAATACAAGCGGCCGAAATGAGTTTCCTCCGTAGGGTGGCCGGGCTCAGCCTTAGAGATAGGGTGAGGAGCTCGGTCATCCGGGAGGGACTCGGGAGTAGAGCCGCTGCTCGTCCATGTCGAGAGGAGCCAGTTGAGGTGGTTTGGGCATCTGGTGAGGATGCCTCCTGGACGCCTCCCCAGGGAGGTGTTTCAGGCATGTCCAACCGGGAGGAGGCCTCGGGGCCGACCAAGGACACGCTGGAGGGATTATATCTCTCGGCTGGCCTTGGAACGCCTCGGGATTCTCCCGGAGAAGCTGGTGGAAGTGGCTGGGGAGAGGGCCATCTGGACCTCTTTGCTGAGGCTGCTGCCCCTGCGACCCGGATCCGGATAAGTGGGAGACGACGACGACAACGACGACGAATGTCTTTACAAACTGCAAGTTAGAGATGATTTAACTACTTTTGACAGCTGCTGCCACTAAGTGTACTAAGATGTAGATAGTTAATGTAAATTACTTGAGTTGACCAAAGCTGGTCATCATCTGATTAATAAGTTAATACTGCATGATGGAGTTTGCGCTATTTACACTTATTTCTACTTTTTTTGAGAGAGTATACTATATGGTTTGTTGTTTAACAAGACCAGGTCACAAACCAGTATCTGTCTGGACCACGTAGTTGAAAACTGTTGTGGAACCTGTAAATTAACTGCTGTCAATGGAAAGTGGCTAAATGCTACTGGAAAAGTCTGTAGACATAATACTACAGGTTCGGGGCTCAGGTACAGCATGCTCACTCAGTGACATGGCTTATTGGGACACATCGTTAATGTTATTAGACCTGTGCAGTTCCTCCTTTGATAAGTCAAATGTTGACTGAGAAAAGATTTGGAATGATGAAAATGGACTTTGTCCTGTTCTATCAGGTGTAACTGTAGAGAGAGGTCATACCCACACAGATGTGAGACCAGAGGTCTAATCTGCCAGAATGTGTGAAATCACGTATAGGTATACCACACTGTAGGTGAGAATGGCCTTTCATTGGAAGAACATTTTCAATTTGCACATGAATAGAAAATAAACACTGAAAATTCACAGAAATCTCAACATATCACGAAGACGTTTTTGAGCTTGGCTGAGTTGGTGGTTGGTGTACCGACAAAAGCAAAATGTAACAGACTAACCCTCACCATACACAGGGCCATGTTGGGATAAAGTTCCTTGGATGTTCATCAGATTCAGTGGGATCATCACACATTTATGAGCTCGTCAAGACGCGCAAATTTTGTGTGATTTTTTTTGTCGGTAAAAGTGCCAGAAAACCAAAATACCAAAAAATGACACCAGCAGGAGGTGCTATAATCAAGGTAAAGGTGTTTGGACCAGTAACTCCCACATTATACATTGCACATTCAAAAACCTTAAGTGTTGCATATCTCAGCAACAATCACTCCTATTAGTACGAACCTTGGTCCAGTAGTTTCTCATGTCCCACTCAGGCCGCAAAATTAGGTGTCAGTTGGCCACTAGTTTTTGTTGTAAAGTCGTAAAATATGATAAAATTATTTTTCCAAGTTACTCTTGGTCTGTGAGTGTGATCTGCATGAAACTTATCTCATCTACGTCCTCTCAGGATCACAGGTTATTAAAAGAGTTCTGTAACTGCAAAACATTAAAAAGTTATATAGGGAAAAACTTGGAATTCATGTAAAAAGTAAACACACCTGGGCCAGTAGTCTGTCATGCCACATTGAGGTTCTGGTTCTGTGCATAATTTAAATACGTAAATTATGTTTAAGTCATTGGTTCTGCCTCTGATGGTCATGAACATTCAGAGCCATGTCATATGAAGTGCATCAACACTGTGGCTGTCACTCCGCATAGGCTCACAGTGTGAGGGTCTGTTCGATGTTGCTCACAGACTTAATTCACTTTTTACTTTTGCCAATATTCTTGAAATTCAGTTAAAATTTATGTTACATTTGAAAACTTGGCTATTATCACATCCTCTTCCAGAAGATCTGGATGTGCATTTGTCCAAAGAAAAACTTTCATCTGTTTTAATCTATCTTAATGATTGAATATATTTTTATGGTTTTGAATGTGTTGCTTAGAGCTCACAGAGACAGTGGTGCTGTTTTCACTGCTCTTTGATCTCAAAGGCAGTAAAAACCATGTTTAGTAGCAGCACTGTGATGCAATACTGCCAGACTCATTCTATACACTCCTCCTCCACACACACACACACACACGCGCACACACACACACACACACACACACACACACACACACACACACACACACACACACACACACACACACACACACACACACACACACACAATGCAGATATCATTCTAGATGGCTGTGCTCACATGGTCAACAGTCTACATACAGTAGTAATTTTTCATAATGTCACTGCCCTTTGGAACTTTTAATACATTCTAAGACCTTTTATTCAGTGAGCTGAGTTCACTGATTTAAGACTTTTCTACACCTGCAGATACTCTGGAAAAACCAGCAAACTGATGGCACTCTCTCCATTACAGAGAACCTGAACTTCTGGTTTATACAATGGATCGGGTATTTGACACTGCTATCTCACGGATACAGGAACTCCGGCAAGTGTTGACTGTTCTTACTCCACCTTGTAAGCTGATGTAAAAAGACTAAGAGATGACGAGAGAGAGATCAAATATTGGCTCATAGGCAGATCCTGACTGACGACTGAATTTATTAGGACTGATACTGTCTGAATAGACAAAGCAAACAGTCTCTCTGATTACGAATGACAGGAGACTACGCTGCGTTCATAACATCATTTAAATACCTGCACTGTAAAACAACAACCATTTAAATAAAGATATATGACTGGAAAATACTGTACAGATTAAAATGTTGTTATTTTTACCAAGTGACTGTAACTGTAAATGGACTGCACTTATATAGAGCTTTTCTAGTCTTTACATGACATTCACCCATTCACAACGGATAGAGCACTTCTACCACACACATACTCATACACTGAGGGAACATCAGAGGCAATGTGGGGTTTAGTATCTTGCCTAAGGACACTTCGATACAAACTGGACGAGCTGGGGATCGAACCACGGACCTTCTGATTAGTGGATGATCCGCTCTACCTCCTGAACCCACATGGTGGGTTCATGTGGCAACAAAATTTTTATGTTAGCATTTTGATGTAATCACTGCTAACACTTCTTTCAGCATTAGCTTTCAATACTAATGCTAATGTGAAATCTGAATTTCAGTAAATATGCAAAAAAACTTTTTTCATACCTTACTCTGAGAAATCTGAAAACTTCTTTGTTTCCTTGACTCCTGTATTAATCTATATCCTTATTTTAACATAAAAAATGACTGAATGATGTAAAGGAGTTGCTTGTAGTGACAGACCCACAGAGAGTTATTGGTAACTCAGTACCACCTCTTTCGGCTGATTTGTCTGGTTTATGGTTTTATAGCCACATCATTACTGTTGGTTTGGCTCTGTGATCTTATCAACCTTGTTTCCAGCCACAGGCAGTTGATTTTTATGAAAAGACCCAGACAGACTCAGTCAGAGAGCAGGTGGTGATCATAGTGGAGCATTTAGCAGCTAAAGAGGAGCTGGTGGATACCAAACACAGAGTTAAAAGAGAGGGAACACTGGACTGAGACCCCCAAAGAGTTAAAAAAGTTATTTTTAAAAGTTATTTTTTAAAATCTGACCGGACATCCTGTGTCATCTCTCACATTTAGGTCAGTACCAGAAATCTACTAAACCCATTTAAACTTATGTAATTTCAGTCTTAATTAAAAAGAAAGATATGACAGCTACTAAAGTCAGTTTCTTCACCACCACCTTCACTTTACATTCTAACCTGACATGTTTATGTCCACAGATTTGACATCACAGATTCTCTGATTATCAGGACATCTGGTCTTTAACTTTACAGCTGACTGATTTGTGATGCAACAGCTACAGTTCATGTTGCCAACACCAAGGCTAACAATGGTCAGGTAAGCATAGACTATGGTTAGCTAGCTAACCTCTGTTGAGATATCTGGCAGGCTAAAACTAGTGTTCATTAATATTTTTATCACTGTGTACAAATCCAATAAAAAGACTAAAACAACCTGGTAGTCCATTACTGCCCAACTTCCTGTCCTGTCTTATTATCATTAGTGCCACGGGTGCTCAGCTCCAAGGCACTCCTCTACAGCTAGAATAGCTGAGTGGAGTGCCTCGGGGCTGAGAGGCTGTGTTACAGCTGAAGGTATGGATTTCTGCAAGAAAGTGTCTTTTTTGACATATTTTTAAAATCTAATGTCAGTTACTGTTACAGGTCTATTATACACTGGTAACACATTTTGTACCCTCTGGGGTTCCTCGCGTCCAAAAAAGGACACACAAAGAAAATGCTATAAAATCATCATATATCAATATTTTTTTCTGCTTCTTTTTCCATACATCTCTTAAACCACTTCAGTTCTGCTCAAACCTACCAAATGTTTATTAGTTTTCAGGATTTTAACCCTTTAAATGCCAGTTTGAAGACATGTTGCCTCTTGTTTTATTAAAAGAACAACATAGAATATGAGATATTTCCCACATAATACATGATGGAGGGATGTGACATTGTTTTATATCAGAGTCTTTTATATCAAGACATTTCTCAAAACCAGAATATGATCAGGGGAATTTTCTAGTTATTATTATTATTACTATTATCACTATTATTATTGTTATTTTGTCACCCAGTGCAATTACTCCTGTACTCACACACTCTCTCTCTCACACACACTCTCTCTCTCTCTCTCTCACACACACACACACACACACACACACACACACAAGGGTCTGATCCAGACTCACCACTGGTCCCTGTCGAAGGAGACAAACAGGCGGATCCCTGGAGGAACAGGGGCCATATTTGGACAGACGTGCTGAAAGTCACAGTGATGGGCAGCTGATGTGAGTTCACACTGAGGGAGCTGATGGGATACATGCTGGTACCATGGCGCTGCCTTGTTGAATCTCCATTTCAGAGGAAGCTGCTGGGAATCCGTCAGGGAGCAGGTTCATGTCTGAGACCGGGAGCACTGGAACTGGATGGAGTCAGAAATCTAAGAACAGGACAGGAGAGGGAGAGGGGTGAGAAACAGAAACTGTTCTCAGTAACTCTGGTGGTGGACATTAGATTTGATTAGAGAGGAGCTGTGCTCTGACCAGAGTCAGTTCACAGAAACCTATACTTTGGCTGAATGCTGACAGTTGTATCAGTTCATGTTAATATTTCTATGATCTACTGAGGGAATTTCTATGTCAGTTTGAGTTTTCTTACAGAAAAGATGAGATATGAAGAACCGAGTTTCTTCAGTGTCAATGAAAAAAGCCACATACTGTATATCTACCAGACACATTTAAATAATGAAAAGCATGAAGAATTAAGAAATACAGGCTTTACACATGCTTTTCATAATATAAATCTAATCAAAGACAGGAGGTTTCCATGTTGATTCCCAATATGAACAGAAAAAGGAAGACAGATAAATCCTAGTCATACTGAAGGGGTCTTAATATGTGGAGATTTCAATTAAGACAAGCTTTAATAGATGTATGCTTAGAAATGTTTCCCACTGCAGGACAGTACACACCACAACTGATTACATACAGTGATTAGCCAGTAAGTCCAGTCCCGTGACAGATATTCTGTAACATGTTTGAGAGCGGGAGAGAGAGAGAGAGAGAGAGAGAGAGAGAGAGAGAGAGATCGCCTTGTATACAGCCAGCCTGTCCACCCCTGTCTGCCTGTCCAACCCAAGGAGACCCTAAAACACACGCACACGCACACGCACACGCACGCACACATACACACACACACTCACACACACACACAGCAGGAATAAAAGAGAACAAATGGTACAGGTGAAGAGACAGAAGGAGACAGGGAAATGGAGCAGTCCATTAGTGAGGGTGTGGAAAGGTCAGAAGTACCATAGAGTGCCAGTTTTCACAGCTGATACAACAGGCTCACCTGACATTTGATTCTACTTCTATGGCCTTTATTAACCAGTAGACTCACATGTCAGAGCCTGAGACAGATATTAATACAAGTCAGAAACATCTCCACTATCAACAGCTCTTCACCTGATTAGTATCACCACACAGCACAAACAGACCAAACAGACTGCAGCAGAACACAGAGACAAAACTGTAAAAACAGAACTACTGAAAATATTATTTATCAATTATAATTAGCAGCTTCTCTGTTTTTTGCACAGTATAAATGATTCTAACATGTGCATTCGTATACTGGTTAGAACCACTTCTTTGGTGTAACCTGGGTTTGTGTTGGTGCAGGTTAACAAGGTTATGAAACATGGATACTGGTTTTGAGAAAACTGAATATGTAGGCTGCAGTATTGAATCTAAAACCTGGATGATGTGGCATGTTCTCACCCAACGTCAGAAAAAATATCAGTGTATCAGTGGCTAGCCATACCCCTGTCTGCTACAGTACAGACCAGGCAGCCACATTACAGCCAGCAAATCTATGAGTCTCAGTGCTGAGACCTTTACTAGTGGACTAGTACAATCACAGTCACCCTTTCATCCAGCTAGAAATCTCACGTGACATTAATGGCTTCCCGCACAGCTTCCTGATTTAACTCTTGAGGCCAGAGCTCTTATGAAGGCGCAGCTGTAATCTCACCAAACCAGTGGCTCCTTCCAGCAGTGATGTCCCAACCAAACCTAACACAACCCGACCAGAGAAACAGATCCGTGGAGTTCCTCTTGTTTGCTGAGGTTGAGAGGAGCATCTCAAACTTCAGACGTGGATAGTATCAGAGGTTACAGTGTCTGGACTGTCGAGACCTGCTCTCTCGTTATCCTCATGTCCAACAGTAACTTAACATCATTTAAATAACCTCCAGTTGTCAATAACGTATCAATAAAGGCTTATCAACGCAGAACACTGAAGGTTGCTTTAGTACATTTACTGATATCGGATACAACACGGCGGTTAAACCGCAGGCTAAAAGTCGAGCTTCCTTGTCATGTCAACGACAGCTAGCTCGACAACATCGCGACTGAAACACACGGTCACCCGTCGACCGGTACCGGACACAATTCACCACAAACACACGGTTTCTGCTCCGGTCCTTACCTCGTCTGTGTGCCAGCGTCTGCCTTCAGCTGAGCGACATATCCTCCACTTCCTTGTGTGAAAGCTGACGACTGTCACTCAAAGAAACACACACACACAGCCGTACCGGAGCACTGTCCTATCTGCTGCTCTGACGTCATCCCGGGCTCCTGCTGTTGTTTAGATGGTTGCTGTTGTTTTCACTGAAGAAGAAGAAGAAGAAGAAGAAGAAGAAGAAAAAGAAGACTTCATATTATTATTACTTCATATTTCGTCCCGCTACTGTGAGAAAACCCAGACAAATTATATATCACAATGGGCGACTCGATCGAGGATGGTGTGCTATTACTTTTCTTAGAAAAACAAAAAGGCTCCAATTCAAGATGAATGGAGAGAGATCTGAAAATGACGAAACTCACCCCTTTTTGGAGCCCTAATGCTTCTTCATACTTCAACGTAGAAACATGATTGAAACTTTTAACCAGTCTTTTTGGGTTAAATCTTTATTTTGATAGCCATTATGGTTTTCACAAAATCGCAGTTTACGTTTTGTGTCATTTTGAGGCAGTCACAGAATTTATAATGGGTGTGTATTGCCATCCCTGAAAATGTTCCTCAAAAGGAATCAGACAACCACGTTCAAATCCATCAATTTCCATCCTGATAAGGATAATTTCTGTATCACCCAGTGTTGGTCTTAGTGTGATATCTTTTAGTTTTTGAAGAAATTTCCCTAAGTGCAGAGAGTGCTATCCAAAGATCCCATTGACACCCATGATAAGCTGAGCTCTGAAGCTCTTACCAAAAACAGAGTTGAGGGGAGATTTTAAACTGATAAAACCTCAACCTTAAACAGTAGATTCACATATAATATATAATTGTCTTGAATGAAGTGTTGGGACACCGGCAGTGAAGAAATTTTTTCAACAGGACTTGTATATTTCCCTCCCCAGCTAGAAATGTTTTGTTCTAAAAACGTTCTGTGAATGTTACATGTAATGTTCTAATGTTTTCAGTGGGAAGTTTTTTTTTGGTTCCTACAACGTTCTAGGATAACGTTCTTTAAAAACATTCTAAAAATGTTTGGTGACAACCTTCTTAGAATGTTTAGTGATAACAGTGTTAGAACATTATGCCCAAAAGTTCCTTAAAACGTTTTCAGCGGGTAGTTTTTTTTAGTTCCCAGAATGTTCCAGGATAACTTTCTCTAAAAACATCCTAAAAATGTTTGGTGACAACCTTCTTAGAATGTTGAGTGATGATATTGCTTGAACATTATGCCTCAACATTCTTAAAACGTTTTCAATGGAAAGTTTCTTTAATGTTCCCAGAATATTATTTTAGAATAGGATAGCATGCTTTAAAAACATTGTACAAATATTTTCTAGTAACATGTCATTAAAACATTTTAACATTAATAATAATAACGTTATGACACATTCCTGTAACTCTTCCACACAAAATTCCTGGGTAACTGGACTGACCACTGTGGCCACTAGTATGATTATTATTATTTACTGAACTATTGGAATTGACTATTAACACATGTAAAAGGTTGATAATATATAAGTATTCAAAAGTCTTTCAACAGATTTACCTTTTTTATTCATTCATTTATTCTGTGTGAAAACATTAAACACTTAAATTGTACTAAACATTGTACAGTCAACCATAAACAAACATTTTTAGGGTACAAATTAAACCTTGAACTTATTTATAATGGTGTATATTTTTGGACTTAGTCAGAGTCTGCTGACTCTGACAACAGTGACGAGCTTCGGCTCCCCACAGGTGCTGCTGCGTTCATGTGAAGCATTGATGGACTTTCCCCAGTCACAGATGTTCTGTCTGTATTATTCACCTGCATTATGACAAAAATATTTATTAAAATCAGAATAATTTCTGATTCATCAGAACTCTTTTTTAAAAAGTTGCAACCAGCAGCTAGTGCCACTATGCACAAATAGTGGATGCTGTCGCCTTTCATGTATGCTGCAACCTCACACACACCTACAATAGCAACTGTGGTTTTTATAACAGGATAGCGCCTTGACTAAGGCAGTAAATAATTCCTCACAAATTCTTCGTTATAATACTATACAAAAGATGTATATATACTTAAAACAAAAAAGAGAAGACAGATAAATTAACCTTACAGTTTAAACAGGCAAGGTAGCTTTGAAGTATGAGAGCAATTTAAATAGTGGTTATCATTTGATGTATTTCTTGTATATATTATATATGTTATAAATGTTGTTTTCAAACTAAGGGGTCAATTTTTGTTCTCAATTCAATGTGATAGTAATCTCACTGTGACACATTCCTAGGCTAGTTGAACTCTCGAGCTTCTATCTGAGGGTTTTTTGCTGGCCTCTAGGGTTAGCTAGAGATATCTTTGCTTTAAGCCGACTGTTTTAGAGACTGTCTGGATCATGAGGTACCTAGATGAGCTAACTTTAAAGGATGTCCTTGTTTGAAGTCACTAACTGACCATTAGGTCTTTGTGAGATCATATGACCATACTTGTTTGTAAGAAGGCGTAACAGTTTGGGGAAGTGTCCATTTAAGGACCTGACTGTTTTTTAGCTTTGCTTTTGCGTCAGATTTTTTAACATCTTTTTTGAACAAATGCTTAACACTGACCTGAGTCCCTCTGTGGGGAGCATATTTTAGTGTGTCTGCTACACACATTTCAATCGTCTTCTGGAGCACGTTGGGGTGGTTCTTGCGACAGGCCTCTAAAGACAAAGAAAGACAAAGAGATGTGTACCAAGGCAAAATAGGGCTTTATATGTTTTGTCTTTTCAGGTGAGGGATCTGAGAAAATGTTATCCAAAAGGACATACCGAGCCCGATGTGAAATCCATGCTTTTTACACTGTAAGGAGAGAAGAACACAAACAATGCCAATATGAGTAACATTCATGTTAAATGAAATATCAGTAAATCATAATCATAATAATCATAATAATAATGGGAAAAACTACACGACACTGAAAAAGCGCATTTTATAGTGGTCACAAGAAGAAGATGGAGTATATGATCTACTTTGTCAAATAGATTTTTACTTTGTCAAGTAGATTTTAATTCCTGGGGAACACCGATTTCTCTGCCATGCATACGCATAACCAGTTTACAGTTTACACAGTAAACAGTAACAGTTTACATTCAGACACATTCACGCTGTAAGGAAGAACTCCGCTCTGTCTGTCTCTCACTGCAAAACGGAATGCGGCGCAATAATCGTTTTTATCTCGATAATCTTACTTTCATAATCCTTGGAAGCCGAAATCGCTTAATTAAAATCGATTAATGGCCCAGCCCTACAATCTCTTGAAAATTACCGTTTTTAATAGCTTTTCAAGTCTTCAATTTGAAAAAAGGTTTTTGTAAGACCCGTAAAACCCCGAATGGTGAGCCAACACTCTCTAACGTAAGTAACTTACCAGTACAATAATCAGCATGCGCAGACCTAGAGCTGAGCGCGACATTCAAAAGTTAGAGCGGGAATTATTACCTTTTATTTATGTATTTATTTTTGGTAACGTTTTTGAATAAGGTCAACTATAGCAAGTAAAATATGTATTTTAACATGTAACATCATATCATATTTATCATAGCGAACAAAATGCAGTATAATTTCCAACAATTAGGCCTACTTTTGCCTTCATTTTGTATGCACAACTGACTAGCTAGTAAGTAAAACACATCACCCTGAACTAATCCTTTTCGCCTGCTCTCTCCCCGTCTCTCTGCGCTTACTAAAAATTAATACCCCTCAGTCGCTATCACCGCTGTATAAGAGAACCGCTAAGATAAGCATTTCCCAGGCTAATTTACAGTTCACATCAGTCAACTGATCATGCTAGTAACATGAAGGGCTGAAGGACAAGCTACTTTAGCTAACATTAGTTATAACGTTAAACGAAGCAATAACGACGGGCCTAGTAATAACTAATGAAAATAATAACTGCTAATAAATATGCGTCATTTCTGAATATTTACTTATATACATTTAAAATGTGGTGAGTTATATCATTATCTTACCGTTACGTAGCACTGTCAGTGTTGTAGCCCGGTAGTGGTCCGCCAGTTTTTTTTTCTTGAGACCGCAAAGTCATGACCCGCCCTACTATGTCTCTGATTGGTCCATGAAAGAAATGAAAAAACATTCGATTGTGTCCTTTTGATTGACATATCAGCGGAACCAATGACAACTTGAAACTGTGCTCCACCTCAACATCCTCAAAACATCTTTAGAATGTTGCAGGGAAAACATTCTACTTTTGTTAACATATCACATTGTAGGAACGTTTTATGAAAAATGTTCTGTCATCTCAGGCCTCAATAACATCCTAAAACATTTTCGGAATGTAAACTTGAAAATGTTCTTTCTTTGTTATCATGTAACATTGTGGGAATGTTTTGTAAAACAACATTCTATAATCTGTTACCTCAACATCCTCAAAACATCCTCAGAATGTTGCAGGGAAAACGTTCTACTTTTGTTAATTTATCACATTGTAGGAACGTTTTATAAAAAATGTTCTGTCATCTCAGGCCTCAATAACATCCTGAAAACATTTTTAGAATGTTGCTTTGAGAATGTTCTTTCTTTGTTATCATGTAACATTGTGGGAATGTTTTGTAAAAGTACATTCTATAATCTGTTACCTCAACAACATCCTCAGAATATTGCAGTTAAAACGTTATGTGTTAGTTAACATTTAACCTTATAGAAACATTATTTGAAATGATTAACATCCTTAAAATCCTTCATCCTTCTTTGAACATTACATTAAAACATTTTCTTTAAAACATTATTAGAACTTGTAGGTAACGTTAGCCAATGTTGTGGGAACGTTTCCTTCTAGCTGCCGCGAAGAGAAAAGTTGGCGATGAGCAAAGCCGCGAAGAGAAAAGTTGGCGATGAGCAGAGAGAATTTCAGGAGAAGTGGGAGACGGAATATTTTTTTGTTGAGCACAGGGGCATCCCAAAGTGTCTAATATGCACGGATAAAGTTGCGGTGCACAAGGAGTATAACATCAGACGTCATTACTGAACTAAACATGCTGAGGAGTATGCAAAATACCTGGGAGATGAGGGAGAGGACCGGGTCGCCAAACTTAAAAC